TTCTCTCCTCGAATTGTACAAGGCGTTGTCCATCACCACAACAGTTTTCTCTGGAAGATTAGGAAGCATTTTTTTACTTAAACCATTGATCAAATATAGGACCATCTATCTCATCATGATAGTCCGCTGATTTTTTTTTAGCTAAAAACCAAAAAGCAGCACATTCTACAAAACCCAATTCACTAACAGCATGCACTATAACAAATCAGCGCCTTGTTTTCACATTGACATTGACATTCACCCAAATGTCATCCAAATAAACGGCGGTGTATCCTTGAGAACGAATTTTTTTTCACACGCAAATACTGGTACCTCCATTTCAGAATATCGAGCCGTTCAATCATGGTCGACTTTACGCCTCGTTTCCAAAAAAACAAAGTTCATTTCATTGAGTATTCTCTACATTGTTGTGCGTGAGGATCGGTTGTGGTGTCTGCTGTGTACTCGTTGCCGTTAATGCAAAATATCATATGTTTAAAAATGCACTTTTCAGGAGACAAACAAAACTGAATAATATTTACTGTGTGAGTAGGGTTTTTTTTCCAAATTAGAAGATATACATATGTATTGGTCCTTTGTTTTTAAGTATATCTTCTTTTGGAGAAAAACACTACTCACACAGTAAATATTATTCAGTTTTTTCGGTTTCTGAAAAGTGCATTTTTTAACATATTATGTCATTTTGCATTAACGGCAAAGATAGTGTATAGATACGGCCAGTGGCGCACCCACGTGGGGGGTTAAGCCCCCCCAGGGCACCATTTCGACACTGTTCCTCATAAATTTTAAGGATTTAAGAAAAATTTCGGTGCCCAACCAAAATCCCCACAGGAAAAGTCTGGGTGCGCCACTGGATACGGCGACAACACCGCTTCCTGTAGTACACCAGCCTCCATGGCTCCAGCTTCAGACAGAGTTGGCCCTATCGCCCCTATCCGAACTCTGAACCTTCTGTCGGCTTTCTATGACGGGAAAAGACATGTCATCGCCTCACCATAACCATATTGGTTCATTTTATACAGCAGGCATTCGTACCAGACTCTGTCGAATGCTTTACTGACATCTAGAAAGGCGGCTGCTGTATATTTCTTTTCATTGAACCCTTTTGTGAAATATTCTGCTAGACGCAGTACCTGAAGTTCACTTAAGTTTTCGGATCTGAATCCGAACTGTGCTAGGTATTGTTGTGGTTTCTTCCATATATATCTCGGATCTCTACCTATATATACCTACTTAATCTATGGTTTCTTCTGATTCTTGTTTTAGCTTAGCTAGTGTGACCCACTTTGCAATTTTGCTTATTGCTGGTAATAAGCAGCCAGGAAAATGTCAATCTTATTAAGCCCCGTACATACCTGGATACAATCGGTGGAAACATTGTCGGCCGACTGTATTTTTGTTGTTTCTCTCCAGTCGGCCGATTTTGCAGCGACTTCCCGGTAACATCGGGCGGCATTTTATCAAAGGAATCGCCGAGTTGGTTGTTTCCCGCTTTAAATGGAAAACATCGGCAGGTGTGTACGGGTTTCAAATTTAGATATATTTGTTTTCTGTGAAAACGGAATAATTTTTGAGGTTCGTTTTTTTTAATTTTAAGTAGGTAGTGTTTCTGTTTACTTTAAATTAACAAAAAGTGTGTGTAACATGTGGACAACTGAAAAGACTTTAAATTTAATAGAAAGTTTAAGACAAGTACCATCCTTGTGGAATGTCTCGTGTAAAGAGTACAGAGACCGCAATAAAAAAATGGACGAAGTAACACGGTTATCAGAAGAGTTTTCTACAACTACAGAAGAAATAATAAAAAAAATTAAATCTCTAAAAACACAATTTCGCAGAGAACATAAAAAAATTCTTGACGGTAACAGGAGTGGAGCAGGTACATCATCGCCTTGTACCTGGTTTGGATACGAGCATTTACTGTTCTTAATTGAAAATAATGAGTCCAGAGGAAGTCGAAGTACAATAATTGTAAGTAAAAATAATAATTGCTTTATTATATTAATTGTTAAATATAAAATTATAATACTTATATGTATTATATTATTATACCATTTTATGTTAAGCAAATTTGTCCTGCCATGACACTTTCCCTAAATCTGTACAAAAATATTGCGCAAATTCTTTTCTAATCTGCTTTTCTGAATTTGATGATTTCCTTGGAAGATTTTGAAGGCTGAAAGGACTCGACGCGTTATCAATTTCATTTCTCCATGAACCGTCAATGCTAGTACCTGTATCTAAGTATTCTGTGTCGAACGTTCCAGGGGGAGAATATATGCTTCTGGATTCTTTATTTCGTCGCAAGTAGTTATGCAGATGAACACAAGTTAAAACAATAGATTGCACCTTTTGTGGTTCCAAAGGTATAGATCGCCTAAGTATTCTAAAGACTGCAGCTAAAATTCCGAACACATTTTCGACTATTCGTCTGGCTCGCGATAGTCGATAATTAAATATTCGTTCAGGTGATCCTTTCGGATGATGGCCTGGAAACGGCTTCATTATATTTTCAGCTAACGCAAATGCGTCATCTGCTACAAGTACATATGGTATCAACTTATTTCTTCCTAGTAATGGCGAAGGACATGGTATATTTAATTGATCTCTTGCAAGTTTTTTAAAAAAACTCGTGTTTTGAAAAACTCCACCATCCGATATTCTTCCCTGACAACCTACATCAGCATAAATTATACTATAATTAGCATCCACAATAGCCATAAGAACAATGCTATATGTTCCCTTATAATTGTAGTAAATGCTGCCACTATTTGCTGGAGCATCTATAACAATATGTTTGCCATCCATAGCCCCAAGGCAGTGTGGAAAATTCCATCTTTCATTGTATTCCTTTTCAATGTTTTTCCATTCGGCTTCTGTTTCGGGCATCTGAAAAAAATATAAAGACTGTATTAAACATCCTTAATATTCATAGTGCGAATCGTCCCCTTCCGTAGTAACTTATGTAGAATCGTAGGTTGTAGGGGGGGGGGCTAAATTTAGACACTTTATTTTTCTTGGCAACGTTTCATTGTTTACTTACAATTTTTTCAAGCCCTTAGAGTACAAAACACAAATTAGTTTTAAGTCTCTAATCATTGTGTTTTGTACTCTTGGCTTGAAAAAATTGTAATTAAACAACGAAACGTAAAGTGTCTAAATTCAGCCCTCCCTACAACCCACAATTCTACATAAAATCCTTAATATTATGTTTTAAAATCAAGAGTTCTTTAATGTTGCCTACTACAAATCATCAAACGCATTTGTAATCAGTACGACGACACTACTTAATTTTATTTATTTTTAGGAAAAAGAATCAATTGAAAGTGAAAATATTGTTGACGACGTAGAATCAGTAAATGAGGAAATCATTCCTCCAAGTCCTCCAGCTAGCAAACCTAAGATACAGAAACGCATTTATTCTGAAAATGCACAAACGCCTTCGTCAACACGTTTGACCCAACAAAGAAAAAAGGCTAAATCACTGGAAGACCAAAGAATAGAAGAAGCCTACAAATTTATGACCACTGTGAAAGATCAGATCTCACGCAAGGATCCCTATAGTGTTTATGCCGATTATATTTCAAATAGGTTGAGGAATTGCAGTCAAAGTATTAGAGCCCAAAATATAGCTAAACACCAAATTGAAAATATACTATTTAATCTTGAGATGGGCATATATAATGAAAATGTATCTCAAAATATGCCAGGAAATGTTGAAAGATTTAATTATACCAATAGCAACACTCCTGCCTCAACTGTATTGAATACTCAAACATCACCCAATCTATTTTCGCCATCTCAAGATCCTAGAACTTATTTACATTCTTCAAGAAGCAGCACTCCTGCATCGACTGTATCGAATCCTCATATATCTCCATATCCATTCTCACCGTCTCCAAACTCTATATCTAGCCCCTCACAGATGTCCCAAACTTATGTCACGCAATCCACAATTGTGGATGATTCAGAAAATCTAATGCAAAAATCTAATGTAATGACAGAATTAGGTCAATTTTTACTTCTACCAGAATCCACATAGTATTAGTTTCCAGTTACTTTGTCTATGTATCATAACATAATAAAAAATAAAAATACATAATTGGTATAGATTTACTTACCTTTACAAATCCTGCTAGTGTTTCTATAAGAGCTTCACATACTTCTGGTATTATAGATGATATTAGTTGCTTTGATACTTTAAATAAATACATCAAACTGCAATATGAATCTCCTGTTGACAGAAATCGTAATGTTATGGCTAATCTTATTGATGGTGGAATGGCAGCACGAAAGTTTGTATTAGTTTTTGAAATTTTAGGACCAACCATTAACAGTAGATTTTCAAAATCTGCACTTGACATCCTCATAAAATTTCGGAAACCACTTCCATCTTCTAACTTAAGGTCATTCATTAAACCGTTTCCATAATTCACTCCATCTCGTAAAAGGCTTTTTTGCCACCAACGTCTTTTTTTATTTTTTTTATTTTTCACAATTATTAAATATGCCGCACAAACACCCGCTGCTATTAAATCATCATTTGATGCCATTTTTTTTTCAACAACAAAGTTCCAACTAGATGTGGACAGGACACATTTGTGTTTAAATCATCGGTCCATGTAATCGGCCGACTTAAAAGGGAAAAGATACAGTCGGCCGACAATGTTTCCACCGATTGTATCCAGGTTTGTACGGGGCTTTAGGATGTAGTATGGTAAACTAAAACGTTAAATGAAATACCATGACTACGCTTACACCACTTCCTAATTGGTTTTTGCCTATTAAAAATATTATTTGCGGATATGATTTCAGAATTAATTTAAATAGAATTTTGGATATATTGAAATGAAAAATACATTTCTTAATAATGAATAATTCGTTTACTACGCCCCTCGTATGCAAAATAAACAGGTATTCTATTGTATTTATTTTGACTGTGCAGATTTTGGAAATGAGGTTATGGTCAGATGTTTTGACTTTTGTTTGTATATTGGTGTCACAAAAATATCAACAGACGGTGAACGCGCCGAACTGCATTGCTTGCGTTCACCTTGTAACATTTTATTTTTAATGTCTTTACATAACTTTTTAACAATATTTATTGAAACTTTTTAAAATAGATTAAAAACATATCGTTATCTACATCCCATATCAAATAATTACCGTAAATAATCAGTAAACAGTGTTACAGTTAAGAGATTGCTTTGAAAAAAGGTGTGTGCGCTAGTTCAGTTTAAATTACAGTTCTTTGTGTGACGGTTAAATAATAAAACGTGTAAATATGAGATTAATTATTTTGGATAAAGTTGAAGAGGTTGCTGAATGGGCAGCCACATATATACTGAAAAGGATACAAGAATTTAATCCATCTCCGGAAAAATATTTTGTTCTCGGACTCCCAACAGGTAATGTTCAATACACATATTTTAACTTTATTTTATTTTATTAAGAGGAAAAATGAAAAATTTATGCAATGTAAAGTATCCTTGTAAAATCTTTTAGCTTTCTAGGTCTGTTAATACTTTGACTTGGGAGTTGGTTGGCTTCTTCCCTAGGACATATTTTAAAATGAAATCTTTTGGCATCGATCTCCTCATATAGCTTTAATTTTAATTTTTAATACATTTAATATGTAATCTAAAGGTTAATACACCTTTTCAAGTAGCTAGCTTCAATTGCTACCTACTTTTTCACTGATGATGATCTAATAAAACTTTCCATTTGATAATTTAATTTGGGAGGGACAGGGACAGATTGATAAACAAGACTTTACAATGTTATATTCAGGAGGAAAGAAGCAAGAGCAAAAAGGGGTGGGATTCATGATACTAAGGCACCTAAGAGAGAAAATTATAAATTTCAAGCCAATATACGAAAGGATGGCCTATGTCAGAGTCAACAACAAACCATTTAATATATCAGTCTTGAATTTATATGCCCCCACAGAAACAAGCAATTCAGATGAAAAAGAAATTGTTTATGGTATGGTAGAAGAGAAGAGAGAGGAAAAAATACCCAAAGAAGATGTCATATTGGTACTAGGAGACCTCAATGCCCAGATTGGAAAAGAGGACTTTTTACAACAAATTACAGGACAGCATACAATATACAAGAACATGAATGACAATGGGCAAAGACTATGTAACCTAGCAACAAGAACAAATTTGTTAATAATGTTATTTTTATACCATTTTATACTAGAAGTTTTTTACCTCATTGTAAATTTTTTAATCTATGGTATATAGCCAATTGCTTGGATTTTCCCTTTGTTAGTTTGTTAATAGAGTAGAACACTTAGTGGAACTATGGTGGGACTTCAGCCAGTAGGAAGACCAACGAAGCGATGGATAGACAAGGTGAGAACTGATTCTAAAAAGATATTGAGGGTAGATAACTGGAGGAGAGCAGCTAAGGAAAGGGATGCTTGAAGGCAGAGAGTTTGTAAATAAAGAACAGTTTATTTCTGTTCCATAATACTTAATCGTGCATTAACATATGTGTTAATAAAAAAAACTATCAGTTTTATGAAGTTTTCTTAGCTAAACTATATCTATATACCTTATTTTGACCTAACTCAACTCAAGAAACTAGTTTTAATTGACAAATCCAAGAACAGATTGAGATAGGTAACATAGATATTTATAGTTATTTAAAAATAAATTGTAAGACAAGTATTACTATGAACAAAAAATGCATTTTCAAGTATAACTCATGCTGGTTTATTTATTTTTCTTTTATTTTGTAGGAAGCACCCCACTAGGAATGTACAAAAAGCTGATAGAATTTCAGAAGCAAGGGAAAGTGTCATTCAAATATGTAAAAACCTTTAATATGGATGAATATGTTAATTTACCAAAAGAACACACTGAAAGCTATCATTATTACATGTGGAATAATTTTTTTAAACATATAGATATAGAACCTAATAATGTCCATTTATTGGATGGCAATGCTGCAGATCTTGCTGGTGAATGTCAAAAATTCGAAAACGAAATACGTGAAGCAGGAGGAATAGAATTATTTGTTGGAGGTTTGATATTTTTATTTATAAAAAATTACAAGGTGAGAATTGGTATCTTAAATAACACTTGATTTTTCTCAAATTTTCGATTTTATTTGATTTCATTTTAATAAATCCCTATTCAAGGTTTAGTTCCCTAATGTTAGAGCAATATAATTTGCTTTTGTATATTTTGAGTGTGATTTCCAAAATATTTGCAATATGTACATAAGTCTTTGCATATATTGAAGTTTTAATAAAAGCCATCTGACAAAAAATTCAACCACCTTCGCAATAAAAACAAAAAAACAAAAAAGGAAGTCTTTTAACCATGTGTTGCCTACATAAAATAATAATATATGAAAAGGAAATATTTAATCTTTGTTCATCAAAGATGTTTAAAAAACTATCAACAGTAAAGACTCTAACATGTAAATCATTAAACCGCAGCTTCGTCTCAGATAATCCATTTCTGTCATCATAAATTTGTTTCTATTAGCTTTGGTGACGTCCCATACTTCCGAACCGTAAAGTGTAATACTTTTGACTATACTACCGTAAATGTGTTTTTTGGTTTCTCATCGAATTGTTTTTTGTCAGAAAAGAGAGTTTAAGGCACGGGTCGCTGCTCTGCCCTTGTTTATTCTTTCCCTGATTTCATCTGTGCTATTTCCCTTCTTGTTGAAAATGGCCCCCAAATATTTGCAGGATTGTACGCCTTTGATTTTGTCGTCTTCCAAGACTAGGTCACATATTTCATCTGTTCCCACTGAGAGATATTCACATTTTGTCATATTCATGTTTAGACCTGCCACCTCAATTCTTCTTGCAGTTTTCTTACCATATAGCTAAGATCATAATTTATAATATCTTCATTCCTAATATGATCTTTTTTGGATACACCACACTCTCTACTTAGAAAATCCATTTCTACTACTTATATACTTCTATCTTTTTTCGTGATCTGCTACACTTCTGCCCCATAAGTCATAATAGGCTCTACCAAGGTTCGATAGATTGTCAATTTCGTTTCTTGTCTAATATCTTTATACCATAGTAGAGAGTTTAGAATGTTAACCGTTTTTTTCCCTGCTGCGTTCTGATTTTGATGTCTCTTTTGGTAGTGCCTTCTTTAGATATTATAGATCCGAGATATTTATATTGATTGCATGGTTTTGTGTTTCTAATTTCTAACTCTGAATTTTCTTCATCATCTCCTATTTTAAGATACTCTGTCTTTAACATATTCATATTGAGGGCCCCATTTTTCATATTTTTTCTTTAGTTTTCTAAACATGTAGTCCATGTCTTCCTCGTCATTCGCTACGACTACCTGGTCATCTGCGAAAAATAAAGCTGTTAGACATTCACCACCGCCTATGTCTATTCCCATTCCGGATACTTGTTTTCTCCACTGCTCTAGCGATGATTGAATATATATTTTAAATAAGGTCTGAGATAGACAACATCCTTGTTTAAGCCCCTTTGTTATTGGAAATGATTCAGATATAAAGTTTCCTTCTTTAACGACATTTCTTGCATATTTGTATATATATGCGATAGCATTCACATACTGAGACCTACTTTCATCCATGTTTGAAACAGTTTTTTCAAAGGTACCGTATCATATGCCTTCTCGAAATCTACAAACAATAGGTGGATAGATATATTCCTTGCCCTCCGTTTTTCGATTACCTGCTGCAGAACGAATATACCATCAGTGCATGATCTTCCTGCACGAAATCCATTTTGTTCTTCTATGTCTTCATACTCTGATTCTGTTCTTTCTTTTATTATTCGACCATACAACCTCCCCACTGAGCTGATAACAGTTATATGCTCTATAATTAGAGCATTTGCGTTTATCCCCTTTCTTGAAATATTAACATTGTCAGGGATATTTTGTCCTTTTAAGCATTTGTTAAATAGTTCAACCAACATTTCATGTTATTTTTTTTAGGTCCATACTTTACCAACTCAATTGGGATGTCTCCAGGTCCTGCTGCTTTACCGTTTTTCGATCTTTTGAGGGCATCATTTAACTCTCCGGTTGTTATCTCAATTATTTGTTTGAAGAAATATCCGATTCTTCCATTTCGATCTCTTGGCATTTTCATATATCCTGTCAGTAAGACCTCATAATGGTGTTTCCACTGTTTCAGATCTATTAACTGTAAGTTAGATTTTTTCCTTTCCTTCCTTCCGGAGAGACTTTATCACCTTCCAAGCTTGCCCAACTCTTGTTCCACCCATATACCTATCCACTTCTGCACATCTTAGATCCCACATCTCGTTTTTACTTTTCACTACTTCTCTTTTTACATCTCGATTTCATTTTTGATATATCTTGTAATCTTCCTCCTTTCTCGTTGACATCCATTTCTGATAAGCAGTTTTCTTCTTGTTGACTAACGTTTGCATATTCTCCGACCACTATATATTTTTGTATCATTTACAAAAAATTTTCATTTATTACTCAACAGTGTACCTTGCGGTCGTTTTTTGACATGGGACAGGTCAAATGTCAAATAGAGAGCAGCAGACACAAAGTGCAGCTACCATGAAACAAATTCTTCTATAGAACTTGTTATATTTCATCTTTTTTGTTGATATTTTCATATTGTAATCCTTACACACTACATATAGTGAGTAGATGGGCCCTGTAGCTCACGTGTGTATGTGTGTACTTTAATTATTGGATATCTTCTTTTTCCTTGGATTTTATTTCGAACAGTTTGTGTCCATCGACTTAGTCAAACGATTTTTCAAAATCTATAAATACAATATGCGTTTCTAAGTTAAATTATCTTCTGTTATTTCATCATTGATTGTCAGAATGGCAGGAGAATGATCTGAATTGATGTTCCATGCTTCTTATATTTTCAAATAATTAGAGTTTATATTCCTAACCAAAAAAAGTCAATAACATCGAGTATCTTATTCACATCTGTCGACCAATACTCTGTGCATAAGTACATAAGAGCTACATTTATATAAGTACATACAAGTTTATGGTTGCTCTCCTATCTAACTCCACTAACCTTTTTTTCTTTGGGGATGGTTGAAGTAAAACGTATACAAGACATTTTCCAACATTTGACAACATTTCAACATTTGATAACATCACTTTTCTGCTTATTTTTTATCCTAATTTTTTTTTCGGAAGCCGTTTGTTGTTATAGCCGGTCTTAAGCTCTTACCACTTAGTTTATTGTACATATATACATTCCCTCCGAAACACTATGATGGCTGAGGTAAATTAGAAATTGAAAAACTTTTCCAAGATCCAATCCAAGTTGTCCGGCTCAGTAAGCCAATACCTAGCCACTGAGCTTCCAGTATCTTCTAGTTTAAAATTAAACGAAATAATCGTAAAATAGTTTCGAATTAGTTACGGTCGCTACTGCGTCCGTATTGAAGCCATGTTATTGTTGCTTCTTAAAAGGCAGAAAATATTGATTTTTCACGTTGAGAACCCCTATGAATAGCTCTTCTGACGAGACCTATTAGGTCGAAATACGTATCAAGAGATACATAGGATTTGTTTGCGTGAAATCAAATATTTGCTGCCTTTTCTCATTTTATTCGGATATACTCTGTGGGAGTACGAGAAACACAATTCGCTAAGGATTTCTGCTTAGTTGTAAAAGACATGTCGTGGAATGCAAATTTTAGATTCCCCATGTCTCTTTTAACATCTTTTATCAACGTCTGTTTGCCTTGCAATTCTTAGAAGGCTCAGATTATAAAGCAGAAATCTGAATTGTGTTTCCAAACTATTTTACGATTGTTTAATTAGATGTCGCTACTGCGTCCGTATTGAAGCCATGTTATTGTTGCTTCTTAAAAGGCAGAAAATATTGATTTTTCACGTTGAGAACCCCTATGAATAGCTCTTCTGACGAGACCTATTAGGTCGAAATACGTATCAAGAGATACATAGGATTTGTTTGTGTGAAATCAAATATTTGCTGCCTTTTCTCATTTTAAACGAAATATTTGGCAAGAGGATTTGTTTACATAGAGAATAATTGACAAGGGGTTGTTTTTATCTAATTGTCACCTGAAAACAAAATATGACGTGTTTCTCGGTTTTTAGCAATTGAATAAATTGTATTGAATTGAATGAAATGTACTGTCTGTATATGAAATGTACTGCTTTATATGAAATGTAACATATTTCAATTTTCTTCTCAGGAATAGGACCTGATGGGCACATAGCATTTAACGAACCAGGTTCGTCGTTAGTTTCTCGGACTAGAGTAAAAACCTTGGCTCAAGATACATTAGTTGCTAATGCTCGATTCTTTGATAATGATATAGAAAAGGTACCAAAGCAGGCACTTACCGTTGGAGTAGGAACTGTTATGGACGCTAAAGAGGTAAGCAATTATGTTTTATGTTTGTCATTAAAAATAATCGACGACTTTCAACATAGACTAATTAAAAATAACTTTTGGGCACTTAGAAAGAAGATAATAAACTCGTAAAGCTCTCAATAAAGGAAAAAATATAAAATATGTGTATAAGATAATAATTACTATTTTAATCTGTATAATAAATATGTGTAAAAGATAATTCCACTTCGGAAATCGTTCTCAAAATACAAACATTAGTAAATGAAACAAATTTTGTTTTTTGTTACTTGGTGTACTGGAGTTAACTGAACTGTTTTAGCGCCATATACGATTCAGGTAATATCCCAGAGGAATGTCTATTGTCAACATGTGTAACACTACCAAAAAACGATCTGCGAAAACGTGCGCAGATTTCCGAACTATCAGTCTTATGAGTCATGCATAAAAGGATACATAAAATACATATAAAGATAAATATATATATATATATATATATATATATATATATATATATATATATATATATATATATATATATAAGGTTCTTGAACTCCTAAGTGGAGCATAGAGCTTCAGTGAAAACGCGCCATCGGGTTCTATTTTGCGCTAAGGCCTTCACCTCATTCCAAGACTTTCCTTGTTTTCTTATCTCGTCCATGATGGATCTTCTCCATCCAAGTTTGTACTGGGCGACCTTTTTTTCATTTTCCTTGGGGATTCCACTCTAGGGCAGTCTTTGCAATACTAGAGTTATTTTTTCGGAGTGTGTGACCGATCCAACCCCACTTTCTGGACTTTATTTCATTTACTACCTATCTTTTGTTTGGTGAGGTGTAGTAAATCTTCGTTTCTGATGATGTTAGGCCAGAAAATACGAACAATTCTTCGTAGACATTTATTAACAAAGACCTGCAGTTTGTCTGTAAGGATAAATAAATAAAATATAAATGTTTTTATTTGTGTCGTTTCTTCACATTTTTCGTATGTAATTTCAGTATAAATACTAACAAAGAGGTATAATATAATTTTTGTATACTTCTTTTTTCTCGCCAAGAGGTTGATATACGTCTAAAAAACTTACAATTGTAAATAAATTATAGGTATTTCAAAGATCAATAAACTGCTTATCAATGACTGATAAAATTGTGGGTATATTTATTTTATTATTAATAAGTATACCAGGCCTAGATTTTTGTTCTTTTATACATAAACAATGTTTTTATCTCGATTATTTAATTAAAATATATGGTATTGAAGATGGTATCACCCAATATATTTTAAATGAAGTACATATGTGCAATCTACTACTGTCCAAGGGTCACAAATTAGGTGCTTTAAAATACATAATTTTTAGGTGTTGTTACCAATGCAAAAGATTTTAAATACTTTCATAACGCAACATACAGGAAAGAGGAAGCAGATATGACACATTATCGTCGAATTATGTGTTTAATATCATACACAATTTAAAAAAAATACATAAACTTGTCGAGAAATTGATAAGGTACTGATAAAAATTGTGCACTAACAAATTTTCGTGCACGTTTGTCAACATTGAGTCGAAGAACGTGTGGAAAAAGCATTGATGAATAAAACCGAAAGTATACTATACTATAGTAATAATAGTTAAGATTGATACACAAGATCAGTTACTTGTTCTGTCATTGTATAGGTCTGGTGTTCATAAATTTCGAAGCGCTAGAAATCGTTAATGATGAGATGATAAAGGTGAAAAGGTCTACGAATTAGAAGAAGAACTATCCAAGATAAAGTGAAAAGAAGAGGCGAACAATGCATGCATCTAAACTCTGGAAATCGCTTATACTTTACAGGGAAAATAGACGAAACATATGGTGGAGTAGGATTTCTTGTCAAAAAGTATCTCACACCATACATTTCTACATATAAAAGCGTTTCTGATAGAGTAGCTTATATTATAATAGACCTAGATAATAAAACCAAGATCAAGGTTATAAAAGTGTATGGCTCCCACAACAACACCTCAGGAAGAGGTACCTAGTTGAAATGTTCTACGAAGATTTGATAACAGCATTAGAAAAAAAATGATACAAAGTATACCATCATTATGGGAGATTTCAACGCAAAATTGGGTAAAAAGGAAGAAAATACTGAAACCAAAATAGGGATGCATGGTTATGGCACACGAAATGAAAGAGGAGAAAAATTATATAACTTCTTAAAGCAACAAAATGTATATGTCATGAACACACACTTCAAGAAAGACAGTTTTGAAGATATAACTGCTCTCAATCGATTCACAACTGGCAGCGATCATCGCCTTTTAAGAGCAAGGATTCTTATTAAACAGACGAAAACCAGTAGAAACAGGACACATAATTATTGTAATCAGATAGATCAAACTAAAATACGACAGAAGGGAGATGAGTACAGAGAAGTCTTAAGAAAAGAATTTGTAGAACATTATCAATAAGAATATTCCGACATGAACACAATTAATAAAGAAATGCAACGAAAGCTCTTGAAAGCAGGACTGACTGTTGCAAAGAAAACGAAAAATAAAGAAGACCGAATAAGTGAAGGAACAAAACGGTTGATGGAAAAGAGACGCACATTTCTAAGCGAAGGAAAGCGAAACACCAATTGTTTCAAAGAATTGAATAAACAAATAAAGAAGAGAGTAAAGGAAGATTTAATGAAAAAGGTAGAAAAAATAATAGAAAAGAACCGAGGCCTGAAATGCTTAAGATCAAACTTAGGAAAGCCTATAATAATCTCATTGAAGGATAAAGATGGAAAAGAAATAAGAGAAAAGAACGAAATCCTAAAAGTTACTCAAACATTTTACCGTGATTTATATTCCTCAAACAAGAACCCAGATAACACTGCAAAGGAAGATCTTAAGAGAAATATAACGAATGTCAACTCAGAAATACTCCCTAACATAGAATCCTTCGAAATAAAACAAGCTATGGCACAACTAAAGAACAATAAGGCTCCGGGCCCAGATGAATACTTGTAGAAATGTTGAAGGAGGGAAGTGAAATTATTCTCGAAAAATTGAACATTTTTTTCAACGAATGTCTTCACAGAGGAGAAGTCCCAGATGATTGGAATGAAAGTTTGACAATACTTCTCTTCAAAAAGGGAGACAGGGGAGATCTGAAGAACTATAGGTCAATCCCCTGCTGTCCCAAATGTACAAACTGTTTATGAGAGTAATAACTAACAGGTTAAAAGTCAACGAATGTCACTTGAACTTATACATTGGTTTCGTTTATTCGGCTGCGAACTTTGGGCAATAGAGAGAGCTATGAACAACTGCAGGATAGACTCCCGATACAGAATCCTCATACATAATATTTACAAGGAAGATACAAGATACAATGAAAATACGAATAGATGCGAAAACCAAAGCGATACCAATCAACAGAGGAGTTCGCCAGGGAGATGTTATCTCACCAAAGCTATTCACACTTGGACTGGAAGACGTGTTCAAAGATATTAACTGGGCAGATAAAGGAATAAATGTTAATGGAATAAAACTGAGTCATTTAAGATACGCTGATGACATTGTAATATTCGTTACAAGTTTCGAAGAACTACAGACCATGATGGCGCAACTATTTCAAGCTAGAAATAGTAAGCGAATACATATACCTGGGACAGATAATGAAAGTTAACAAAGATAAATGCAAAAGCACTCACATAGAACAATATTTGAAAATCAGAATTTACGATCGGTGTATCCTCCCTATACTCACGTATGGCTCACAGACGTGGAATCTCACCAAGTCTAACATGGATAAAATAGTCAAAGCACAAAGAGCGATGGAAAGATCAATGCTCGGGGTGAGACTTATAGACAAAAAAATAAACAAATGGATTAGAAGAGCAGAACGAAAGTAAAAGACGCAGGAGAACATGCTGCCAAATTAAAATGGAGCTTCGCAGGACATAATGCCCGACTGAAGGAGATAAGAGAATTGGATAGGAAAGAGAAGCAGAGGAAGACCACAAATGAGATGGGCGGATGATATTAAGAAGATCGGAGGACACAACTGGAAGCAAGTGGCGCAAAATAGAAGACACTGGATTGATTTGAGGGAGGCCTATGTCCAAAGTTGGATTACTTAAGGATGAAGGAGAAGAAGAAATCGTTAAATATTGAATTTAACTGCTTAGAAATCTTAAACAAAATTCACCTTGGATCAGAGCCTCAGTAATCATAGCAAAGCATTTAGCAGCAGTGAGCAGAAGACCACAACAAGAAGGTCAACCACCGCAGAGGTCTAAATTTTTAGATTTAAAATTTCATACATAATCATACCCGTAACTATGTTCTCATATTAAATAAATAATTAAATACATCTGTGTAATACATATGAAGGGCCACGGAAAAGAATGATCAAACTCACATTTTGTTCATTTTGTACAAATCGAATTTTAAAGTTTTAAGTCGTTTATTTTGGTTCAGGAAAATTAAATATAAAAAATTTAGTTATCAGTTTATTACTATAAGACTTTTTAATACAAAAATGAAAAAAAATAGTTTGACTATTGTTATATGTATATAGACTCTGATCTATTTTGCGCGTTAAATGTCGATTGGTGGATCTTCGGCAAATTCTACATCACTACCTTCATTCGTACCGCTATCGGAAACTAGTCCTTGGTAAAAAAAATGCGCTTCAGAGTTTGTCAGAATTGGGTTAGGTGCAATAAATCATACAACTTAACAGTCTTAATCGACAGAATTTCATTATATAGTTTCTTTAGTGGAACAGGTTACAATTTTCTTTTACGTGACTGATTTTTTGAGAGAACTATCACGGCTGTAAGATATAGGCCAAAATAATGGTCTTTATGTATCACAAACCGTGGGTGTTTTTTTTTTTCTATTTTTAAAATCCTGATAGGCCTAGTCGCCGTAGGATATTTTGGCACATAAAGATGGGACAAATGGGTAAAGACAAAAATGCTTTATAGCAAACAACAGTATCTTGTAACGAGCCACTCACATTTACCCGAACTCTATAGCTATAAGAAGATTGATTAAAACTTGCTTCAGCTTCAGGGTTTTAGCTTCTCCATCTTCCAACAGGTATAACCGTAACAAGACCTGTTAAATATTTGTTTTGAACATTGTATTTCCCTAACTCATTAAAATGAGAAATTAATCGTTGTCTTTCATTCAAAGGGATGACTTGAAAACAGTTGTAACGAAATACAGTCTTCCCCGACCTCGTGAGTGTTGATGCGTAATTTTTTATTACATCACTCATTTTTCCGATTTTTCTACGCTTTTTGACATTTCCTGGCTGATTATTTCCATTAGATATATCACTATCACTCAGATCACTTGACATTATGAATTTTTTCAAAAACAAACTAATGAAAACTACAAAATAGCAGCAGCTCGCTTAGCGATTACAGAATAGAACTGACGCTAAGATGCTATAGATTCAAACGACAATTTACGTTTAGTTAAAAGGTCGTCGGAATCTGATCATTCTTCCCCGTTGCCTTATATCTTTCCCCTTTATTATCTTCTGTACGGTGATCGTTATTGTACAAACGAAACCATGCTTGAGTGCTTTCTAAGAAAACCTAAAATATGACGTCAATACCTAAATTCCGACCAAAAATGGAGTCTGATCGTTCTTACCCGTGGCCCTTCATATATTAATATTAAATACATAATTAAATACAACAAAGACAAAAAATTAAACAAATTTTTTTTTTTTTTTTTTCGTCTCGTTTTAGATGTGTTTTGTCTCCGCCGTGTATGTTAATATAGGTCTAATTGCTGCTTTATAGATTCTTGTTTTTGTGTCTTGGAAAAAAAACAAAGTTATTTGTGGTTAGTAAACAAGACCTCGGCGCTATACAACTAATTGTCAATAATGATCCGATAACAAAAGTTAACCATTTTAAATACCTAGGATGTTGGATAAACGAGACACTAAATCCGGATGAAGAAATTAAAACTTGTATAGAAATTGCAAGGGGAGCATTTATGAAACTTAGATCTATTCTGAGCAATTCTCAGCTGAACTTATAACTGAGAATTAAGTTCCTAAAATGTTATGTGTATCCTGTATTACTGTAAGGATGTGAAACCTGGATTATGAAGGTTAACATGATGAACAAATTAGAAGCCTTTGAGATGTTGTTATAACGTAGAATGCTCATAATATCATAGATTCAACATATGTCAAACAGAGAAGTCTTGAAGAACAGAGCAGGTCAAGGTGAAGGTGAGAGAACTAGAATATCTGTGACATATAATGAGAGGAAGCAGATGCAGGATAATGCAGTTGATACTCAACGGAAAGATCGATGCAAAAAGAAGAATTGGTAGTAAGAAATACTCATGGCTCCGAAACCTTCGTTAATGGAGTGGCTTATCAGCAGATGAATTATTACATGCCGCACAAGATCGACAACGATATCGGAAAATCGTCATGGAAGCTACCCACGCCTAACACTTGGGCACGGTACTCAAAGAAGAAGAAGTGTTCATTTACACAGTCCCTACTGTATATTATTGTTGTTTATTTAATTTATTTTTTGATGTTTGTCTTAAAGCTAAAACTGTTCACTTTCTCGTTCTGTTTGTAGGTAATGATCCTTATTACAGGTTCCCAAAAGGCATTCGCCTTATACAAAGCCATAGAAGAAGGTATTAACCATATGTGGACGGTATCAGCATTCCAACAACATCCCAACACTTTAATGATATGTGACGAAAACGCTACATTAGAGTTGAGAGTTAAGACTGTAAAATATTTTAAGGTAAGCCAGATAACAATTAAAAAATCGTTTTTATTTTATTTTTATATTATTTCATTATTACTTAATCTAGTCTTCATCGGTTTCCGATTCCTTGTATTTTTCTTGTCCTATAAACTTGTCTGAGCCAGCTAGCAACGGAACGCATTGCTTTAGCCTGAAATTAAATGCTGTAACTCGCAATTACCGGCAAAAGACGTTAGCTCTTCTTCTTGTGTGTAGGCTGTTTCTTCTTTAATATTAGCCTCCTAAATTGTTTAAATTATCGTACCATCTTTTTCTTGGTCTGCCAATACTTCTACGTCCATTTGGTGACTTATCCCGTGTTATTCGTACTATTCTATCCTCTGCCATTAAACTAATGTGTTCGTTCCACTCCTGTTTCCGTTTTGTCACCCATTCATTTATGTCTTCTATATTGCATGCTCTTCTTATGTTTTCGCTTCTCTCCCTATTCCAACAGACTTTTCCCTGATATTCATTGGGGTATTTTCATCTCAGTTGTTTCTAGTAGTCGTCTCGTTTTAGATGTGTCAAGTTTTGTCTCCGCCGTGTATGATAATATAGGTCTAATTGCTGCTTTATTGATTCTTGTTTTTGTGTCTTGTCTTAAATGTTTGTTCTTCCAGATTGTGTCATTAAGAGATCCCCCCGCTTTACTTGCTTTTATGCTTTGTTTTGTGAAACGCCACTGTATTCTGTCTTGAGTTAGATCTTCGTCCAGATTTCGAGCGCTAATCGCTTTCCTAACTCCTAACTCGTTTCCTCTTTTCTGGGGGTTGCCACATCATCGTTTTTTTAGGCAATCTTTCGTCCCCCATTCGGCTCACATGCCCATACCATATGAGCTGTTTTCTCTCAATATCCTCAACTATAGTGCCCTCTATACCCATTTGTTGTTTTATCACTTCATTCCGTATTCTGTCGGCTCTTGATATTCTCATCGATCTTCTGGTGCATCCATTTCCGTGGCTTTGACCTTTTTCTTATATTTCTCGGTTATTCTCCATGTCTCAGCTCCATAAAGTAGGCTAGTTTTAACCATTGTCTCATAGATGTTCCATTTTCTTTCCTTTGATATTTCTTTACTCTATAGAACTCCGTTCAGACACGCTATAGCTTTTCGTGCTTGTACAATTCGATGTTCTATTTCTCGTTCGTCTTTTCCACTACGGTCGAAGATGACGCCCAGGTATTTATATTCGTTGCATGGATTTATTTTTTGATTGTCATCGATATCGAGTTGTTCTGCTTCAGCTCCAATTGAGAGGTATTTTGTCTTTTCTAAATTGATATTTAATCCCCATTTCTGGTATTCTTCAATTAGTTTTCTAAGCATGTATTCCATGTCATCTTTGTCATTTGAGATCACCACCTGATCATCTGTAAACTGTAAAGTATATATGTAATCCAGATCGTTCAATTGTATACCCATTCCTTTGACTTTCCTTTTCCATTGTGTCAGAGCTGCAAAGATATAAATCTTAAATAGAGTCGGAGAGATACAACATCCTTGTCTGAGACCCTTAGTAACTGCAAATTTTTCAGCTAAGAGGTTTCCGAATTTCATTTGGGAGTTTGAACCATAATATAGATCTTTGAGAGTACTAACCAATGTTTGATGTGCCCAGGACTTCCCATAGTTTATTTAGCGGGACTGTGTCATATGCCTTCTGTAAACCTTGCGTCCTGCTGTATTATTTTCCCAGCAATTTCGAATTTACATCGTAGTGGGTATTTAGATGTTGTCATACATTTGGTTTTTTTTCTTCCGATATTATCATATTGTATTTCTTGGCTGTTGTATTGAAGATACAGTTAGACTCTCGATTATTCGAGGTAATTGGGACTGGGACTACCTCGGATACCGAAAAAACTCGGTTAACATAGATTGGTTATATGTACTTATAAAAAAATGTGTACCTACGCAAATAATGATTAATGTGTTTATTTTAATAATTAAAAACTAATATAAAAGTAGTATAAAAGATAAAACAATTTACCTTATAAATGTTATTGTTTAAAAAAGTCTTTGATTGATTTTTGTTTTAACTTCATTCCTCTTTTTGAGGCGGCGATGTTGCGCCAACGTTGAAAATTGAGCACGTCTAATGGTGTCGATTCTTCTTGTTGCTCGATGTATGCGAGGGCTGCTTCAAGGGACTTCAATCCATCGGAATGAGAAATTTTTTGAGTTATCTCATCTGTATCTTCTTCATCTTCTTCATGAGTGACGTTTAGAACTAGATTGGCAATTGCATCATCTGTCAGTTCCATTTCTTCATCTAGATTCATCCAATCGATGATGTCTTGGTTTCCGATTGGTTGTTCTACTGGTAATTGATTGGCTAGGTTGGTTATATAATCAACTTCACAGTCATCAGTTTCATTTTGAACGTCTTGTGTTTTGTTGTTTATCTTAAATAATTTTTTCCACGACTTCTGAATAGTGGACACTTTTACATCGTCCCAAGCAGATGCAATCCAATAGCAAACATCTTTAACCGTGATTTTCTTCAATGTCTCAATTACAGTCAGCCCTTCATCCAGCTTAGTTAGCAGTACCTGAAGAAGCTTCCGCCGATAATTCCTCTACATTGCTTCTATAACGCCTTGGTCTAGGGGTTGGATGAGAGACGTCACATTGAGTGGAAGGAACACAGCTCGTATGTCACCACTAATCATTTCACTCGCATCTGGGTGGGATCGTGCGTTGTCCAACAACAACAAAGCTTTCCGAGGCAGATTTTTGTTTATTAGGTAGGCATCAATGACTGGCACAAAGTCTTAAAAACCAGTCCTTAAAGTTACAGTCCATCCATGCATTGCGTTGGTTGCTATAGATTGTAGGTAAGCAATTTATTTGGACGTTTTTGAATGCTCTTGGATTTCTGGATTTTCCGATTAAAAGAGGTTTTAATTTTAATGAACCAGAAGCATTGTTGCAAATCATGATTGTGACTCTCTCTTTGCTTTTTTTGTAACCTGGTGCAGTTCCTTCATTTTTAGCAGCTAGTGTTTTCGATGGAAGCATTTTAAAGTTAAGGCCTGTCTCATCACAGTTAAATATTTGGTCTGAAGTTAGTCCATCTTTAAGGATAATGTCTTGTAATTTTAAATAAAATGTTCCAATTTCAGTTGAGTCAGCAGAAAGTTTTTCGCCACAAATATTCAATTGTCGGATGCCATATTTCTTTTTCCATAAGTCAATCCATCCTTCACTAGCACAAAGTTTTCTCCTCCATCCATAAACTTCTTCTGGAATTCGATAGCTTTTGCTTGGAGTATTGGACCACTTATCGGACTGTCCAATCCTCTCATTTGTGAAAACTACAAGAACAATGCCTCAGAAGTTTGTTCATAGTCTCCTTTCTTCATAGTCTTCCGGGCCAATCCACTACCACCACTCACACTTCGGTTAACCCACTGTTCGATTTTATTCCGCTTACGCTTCCAATCTCCAACATTACTTCTCCGACACCTAAATCTGAAGCAACCTTCTTTATTGATTCACCCATGTCCAACCTCTTAATTGCATTCACTTTTGTTTCTAAAGATACAACTACTCTCTTCCGCTTTTCACTCATATTGCACAGAAAGATGCTCTCTTACACTCACAAAAATCAACTTATGAAAAATTAATTATTAAACTTAAACTTATAAACTCGAATAAATACACAAAACAGTACATAAAAGCAAAAATTTTACCGTACAGTAATTTGACTTAATTTGACGATCTGAACGGCAGCGAACAAATAATTTGACGATCTGAACGACAACAAACAAATCGGTAGTTCAATTCACACTGATTAACATAGAAAGTAACAGGAAGTTGTAGACAAAACACGACACAGAAATTTCTGGAAATAAGGCGGTGACCAATTTCTGAGAATACCAACTCGACATCAGCTTGACCTAAACACAATTCTCTTCTTATCAATAATCCACAATTTTCAATGGATTGCCCATATAACAGCTGCCGATATAACTTGTGACCATCGACCCTTTTTTTATTACTCGATATTGTGATTCAACAAGTACGGCTATAAAAGTAAACCCCAGGCAAAATTTTGCCTCGATTAACCGAGGGGCTCGGATAACCAAGGCTCGGATAATCGAGAGTCTACTGTATATGTTAATCTTTAAAGTTCGTCTTCTGTCGAAATATTTGGATTCTTTGTTCCCCATTCTGTAACCATGACCTTTACGTACTGCTTGTATTATTTCATCCATTATTATATTAAAGAGAAGTGGACTTTACGAGTCACCCTGTCTGACTCCGCTGTGTACTGGTATACACTGTGTTAGTTTTCCATTTATCTTTGTCCGTATTCGATTATGTAAGTAGATGTTTTCGATGATTTGTATATTATTGATTGGTGTGTTTCTTTTATACAGTAGGTGTAAGACGTCTTCGACTTGGATGCGATCGAAAGACTTTGTCAGGTCTATAAAACATAGATGTGCTGGTTTATTGTTCTCGAAGGCCATTTCTGTGATTTGTCTTATAGTGAAGTCGTTTTACCCTGTCGCATTTCGGATTAACGCCCGAAAAATAATTTATGACTCTAGTTACAGCCACTCTGTTATGCTTTCCCTTTTCTACCTGGTTTGTGGTACCGAACCTTCTACTGGTCGGCTGTAGTACTAGGATAAATCCGCTGAGAGAATGAGAACCGCTGACGACCTGAGGCAAATCTGAACAGACTTATTACTTATGCGACAGGCTAAAACGATCCTACTTTAGTAAATTGTTGGAGTCTTCTTTATCTTCTTTCTTGAACATTGATATCATTATGCTGTTTCTCCATGCGTCTGGTATTTTGCATATATTCCGTCTGGTCCTGGTGACTTTCTATTTTTGAGTGAGTTTATGGCTATCTCTACTTCCTGAAAACTGATTTCTATTTCGTGTCTTAATTCAGGTACATTATTGTGTTGATTATTATTTTTCTTAACTTTAAACAGTTCCGTCAGGTATCTTTCCCATTCGTTTGCTGGTATGTTATTGTATTCCTTCAATTCTGCCATTTCTTTCCATTGGTTTCTTATCTATTTCCATATTTGTTTTTGTGTACCGTAGAAGTCGCATTCTATCCTTTTTGTAAACTGTTCTCAGTGTTCATTTTTTGTTTTTCTCGCCAACTGCTTTGTTTCATTTCGTATTCATCTATATGTATCCCGGGATTCTGGAGTATTTGATGTTTTTATACTTCGTGTAGGCCTCTCGTTTCTCTCTACATTTCTCTTTTATTTCTTTTCTGAACCATGGGGTATTGTTGTTGTTTCTTTTGTTCAGTATAACTTTGCGTTTTCCTAGAGCTTCTGTTGCTGCTTCTTCAATGTTGTCTTTTAATTTTCTCTCAGACTCGCGTTTATATCTTCGATGTCGTCTATTTGTTTCAGCTGCATCTTGTGTGCTAGCCTCCTTTGGTACATTTCTCTTGTAGAGTCATTTCACAGTGATTCTAGATTAAATTTTTCCTCAGTGATTTCTTGTGGAAAATATTTTGGCGTTATTTTCATTCTTATTTTTGCTAGTACTAGTTTGTGTTCACTGCCTGCGTCTGCTAAGTTTAAAGTTCGGATATGTAGAATCTGCGTTGGACGGATTTTTCTATTAGTGACTATAAAATCAATCATAGATTTGTGCCTGGCGTTTTCAAATGTATATTTATACTGGAGCTTATGGTCGAAAAATGCGTTATTGATTCTCAGTTCGTTAAAGCACAGAGATTAACGATGAGTTCTCCATTTTCGTTGACATGGTTTCATTAATCTTTGTTTGCTCCTGGACCTATTTCATTTCCGATTCGTGCATTAAAGTCACCTATAAGAATTAAGGGTTCTTCATGAAGGATCAAGGATTCAATTGCAAGCCATCCTGGATATTTTATACAGGATGGTTTGCAATTGTTAGTAGAATGCCTCTCGTTCCTCCTTAGGTTTGCAGTCCTCGGGGCTATAGATAGATATGACATTTAATTTTTGGTAGTCCATTGTGATGTTCATATGCATTATTCTTTCGGAGATATAACAGCAGTTATTTATGTTGTCTTTAAATTTTTATGGACAAGTATACCTACACCTGCTCGTGCTCGTTCTTCTTTCTTCACTCCACTGTATGCTAGAAAATATTAGTAATAGTCTCTTTGGCCTTTACCGTTCTTCTTGGTTTCTTCAGTGGATTTACATATTTCATGGAAGATGGATCCACAAGTTATTATTGTTTTTTTGTATAGTAGATGGTAAAATGTTTCTTAGATTGGAATGTGCTGGTTGGATGTACCCTATCAATAGCTCAGACCCCACGCTTAATTTTCCTTTCTCTCTGATTAATAAATTCATGCATAAAATTTTTAGACAAAATGGTAAATGACGAAAAAGAAGAGAATTCTCGTAGTTCTGGTAAATTTTTAAGCTTGCAAATTCATCATCAGTTGGCGCTACAGCTCTTTGTGAGCCTTGGCCTGCTTCAAAACATTCTTCCATCCTTCCCTATCGAGTGTCTGTCTTCTCCAGCCCCTCACTCCAATCTCACTCAGATCTTCCTGTACATCGTCCAGATATCTGAGTTTAGGTCGCCCCCTTCTTCTTCTTCCGACCGGCCTGTTTAGCATAGTTATTTTAGTGGGATCACTCTCATCCATCCGCATAACGTTGTCCACCCACCTTAGGCGGTTTATTTTGATGGTCCTCACAATATCTGCATCACCAAAAAGTCTACAGAGTTAGAGTTCAAAGTTATATCGCCTTCTCCACAGACCCTGTTCGCTTACTCCGCCAAATATGGTCCTCAATACTTTTCTTTCAAATACTCGTATAACTCTTCATCTCGGGTCGTCATTGTCCATGTTTCCGATCCGTATGTGAGCACTGGGCGTATTATTGTTTTATAAAGTTTGCACTTTGTTGCTATTGACATACTTCTCGCTCTTAGTTGAGGGCCCAGGCCGAAATAACAGCGGATAGCCACGCATATTCTTTTTTTATCTCGTTGGATGTGTTATTTTTGTAGTCTACCAGTGATCCTAAGTAGCAGAATTCTTCTACCATTTCTATCGTTTCGTGTTGCACCTCTAAGTTATTTTGTTGAATTCTTGATATGGCCAGCATATATTTAGTTTTCTGGATGTTAATCAGAAGTCCGATGTTTTCTGCGGCATTTTTGATACGTGTGAAAGCCTCCACTGCTTCATTTTGGGTTCTTCCAATTATGACGATATCATCAGCGTATGCCATTATTTGTATACTACGGGTATATATCGTACCTTTTAAGTTTATTCCCGAATCTCTCATAACTTTTTCTAACGCTAGCTCTTCTTGAGAGAGAAGCTTGCAAATTAGTGTAGCTAATTCTATGAACTTACTGGACAAACTTCTATGTCATTTCATACCTGGTCTTTGATCTACTATATTTAAATTGATTTATAGCTTTCCATTTGTTTATTTCGTTATATGAAAAATAATTTAACTCACTGACTTATAATGTTACGATAGTGTCACTGCAAGTAAAGAAAAAGATGGAATTAGCATTAGAGTCGATTTTATGGCATTGGTAGTGAATGTCAGTAAATCTACTGAGGAATAAAAATGTGACGACTCTAAGGTAATAATATTTTTAGAGGTAGTGCTCTGATAATTTAGAGTTGTAAACATTTGTTTTTTTTATTATTACTTTTTCATTGAAAATGCGAATGTTTTTCACCTTACTTATATTTTTAGGCACTAAGTGACTATCATACCAACCAACTGTTGCAGCATGACAATATTGAACAGTTTAGGATTTTTCACTGAGCAGTATTTGTATGATTATTTATGTAAGAATTTAAAAATGCGATGTACTGTATAAAAGGCAATAGCAAAATAAAATGGTGTATTGTTTGATATGGGATAAATATATAAAGTATTAAGATATTCTTGTTTTATTTATTTTTTAAGATAATTGTGTGCAATTCTGACATCACGAATTTGGCCTTAGCCAAGATAGGCCATGAACTAGAAAATCTGGATTGGAAGATTGTCAGAAGCGTGCTTGAAGTGATCTTCCGAGAAACCGGCGTACGAATTACTGTGTGTTGTATTAACCCGAAGAGATTCTGTCCTTCAAAGTCTGTAGATTGTTATTTCTTCTTGACGGGTTCATGCAGAGCTGGAGAGTTCTGTAGATTCCGCCATCCAGGGCCTACATCTGGAGTTACTGATCGGGACGCTCAGATCTAAGAGTGGAGCAGTGTAACGAAATAGCCCATCTCCGATACGTGGTATGTGTCACAATTCGTAGAAGGATAAATCTAGAAAACTCGAAGAGTTGCATTTCAATAGCGCACGTCTTCGATGCGCTTTCGATGAGACGAATTAGAGGTGGGCTACTCCAGAATGCTCTAGTACATAATAACTTTATATATAAGCATACCTTCTATGAGTTAAGTTTAGTTGATAAGATATTACCGAACTGTAAACTTATAAATAAATATATTTATATAACTCGTTTTATATAACGAACCGCTCGTTTTATTTAATCTCGCTACAGTATTTTGACTTATTGTCATTTTTACCTGAGCCACTATCTTCGCAAGCAAACCAATAGGGAATACATCGAAGGTGGAAAAAATTTAACTGATACTTTTAATAACTATAAAAAAAATTGCCAGGAAAACAATCTACCGCACGCAAATTTAGCGATTTGCTCAAAAATTTTTAACACAGTGTTTAACATTAGTTTCTTTATACCCAGAAAAGATCGCTGTAAGTTGTGTAATGCGTATGAAAATGCCATAGGAGAAGCTAAGGAAATATTGGAACACAAGTATGTATTACATTTGGAAGAAAAGATTTATCGAGAAAAGAAAAGGCGAAGGCTAATCCCAATTACATTGTGTCAATCTATGACTTGCAAGCAGTTCGTCCTGTGCCGCAAGGAACTGTATCTGTTTTTTATTATAAATCGAAGTTGAATTGCTACAACTTCACGGTATCTGATTTGAAAACTGGTTCAACGGAATGCTACTTTTGGCATGAAGGGCATGGAAATAGGGGATGAAATAGGTTCATGTGTACTTAATTTCATAGAAAAAAACTGGGCACTTCTAATAATGATGTTGGGCTTGACTTAGTTTTCTTTTCAGATAATTGTTGTGGCCAACAAAAAAATTTATTTTTAATTGCTATGAACCCATAAAATATTTGATAAGTGGACATATTCAGAATGAAGGCGACTCTGTTCATTAAATTATTGAGAAGGCTATAAAGAAAAGTAAATCTGGTCCTATCTATGTGCCAAGTCAGTATGCACAAATCATTCGTTTGGCAAAAAAAAAGAAAGAACCTTACCATATAAATGAATTCGGTTATTTTGATTTTTATTCGCTTAAAAGATTGTGTGACGATATAGTAGGCATGACAGGTATCAAATCTTTGAAGATTACTGAAGTAAAGGTTTTTAAGTTAAATCAAGAAATCCTTCCACGCTCTAATATAAATCCTCCTATTAAGATGAAGAGTTCAAGCAAGTACCTTACACAGGCCTACAAAAGTGTACTTAGCATTAAAGACAATAAGAAAAAAGATCTCTTGGATTTAGTAGAGAATAATCACATTCCCAGTTGTTATTCAGCATGCAATAACTCTTTGTAACAATAAATAAATAAGTTATTTCTGTTTTTCTTTGTGTTTGCTTTATTATACTCTAACAACGTGATTTTAAGATGATAATCTTGTTCTAAAAAAGTGTCACAATATCGGCATGTTTCTATTTTTTACTACTGCAAAAATTTAATTTTCTGAGAAAAATAATGCACCAATAACACTAAGCATATTCCAGTTTACAATAAAATAGCATATTATTATCAGCTTGTATTTACATGGAACTGACAAATACATGTTCAACTGAACTAAAATCTTAATTTCATTTTTCTCAAAACGTTCTTTGAATTGTGAGTCTTTTTTAGCGGAGGTGCGATATAATTTGAGCCAAAGGAGGATTATTTCATTAAATATGTAGTGTTTTGATCCAGTTAGGCATAATAAAAGTAAATAAATAGTTTCTTATCAATAATTACTTACTACATTATAGCGTAAATATTCATAGTTATTAAAACTTTATAAAGGTTGTTACCTAATCGTTAAAATTTCTGTTAGAAGAAAACAAATTTATTTTATTTAATTAAAATTCAGAAGCTGGAAAGGTTACAGTCTAATAAATAACAATAAGTTAAAAAACTTAGGTTCTTCAGATTCCGGATTTACATTGGCACAAGCATATAAAATTACGCATAATAGAATATACTTGAGGCACATAGCTCCCCAATGAATGCGGAAGGCGAATGATTCTGCGGTCATCCTTCGATTTAACATATACCATACGTTTTAGCCTCCTATAGGGATCGGTCACTCTACTGTTCTCAAACAGGATAACCAAGCGGACGTTTGTTAAACCGTGAACTCCTTACAATGATCATAAAAGAACTTAGGTTATGAATAGGCATTAACCTTTACAGCTATCTGGGGTTCAATCTCTAATGAACCACCGTCACAACAAATAGCATGGGGATATGAGTCTGCTAGGCAATCGAGATAGTACGTTATAATACTACCGACATCTACATTTGAGAAACTAAATTTTTGACTCATCAAAGATTATTATTACCGTAATATATTATCAAAGAATATACATAGACGCATATGCGTCTATAATTCCTACTCCACATTATGTGATATGATATACCATGTGATATACCCATATCCCTGGTGTTAACATACAGGATTTTATTGATCAATTCGCCACGGTACTTTTCAATTACCTTTTCCGAATGTACGAATTGTAGGTAGGCAACATATATTTCCACATTCAATAGATATCCTTCATATTCTACTCGCAGAATTATTGAAAATTACATTGGTAAAGTAATAAAACAATATCATTATTTAATTAAACAAATTTAATCTCATTCTATACGTTTTATCTAAGTTAAAAAATTGTTTCTCTTTCTATGTTTAATAAATAAAATGACGAAGAGATATTTTGAGAGAAGTGATATCGATATAATAATATATTATGTATAAGCTTATAAGCATATTCCAGAGATATGTAATATTCACATTCATAACCTTTTATTAGTGAATGAATGAGTGCATTATGAATATAATTCATATAACCCATTACGACGAGTGACCAGTGGCTTTTGTCGAAAAAGGTCGATGTGTTGTCGATGTATACCTAAAAAAGATAGAGACCTATAAAATAGGAAAAGGATTGAGATTGGGCGACCTATTTTACCAGTTCGCTTGGTATGTCGTGTAGTTTGTCGCTACTCGCTACTAGGGCGGCGCTGGTGTAGAGAAGGGTGCTAATTATGACGTTATTATGTACATTGAAGTGAATGTAAAAATTTCGAAAATAATTAATTATTCATAGTTATTATAAGATAAGATTACTGGTTTTGGTGGTCAATATTATTTAAATATGAATGCCAAGAAAGCTTACACCAGTAGCAATCAAGATTTCTAAATAGCATCAGAGTGGTGTCATGGCAAAATTAACAGTGGCGAAACGGACTTTCCTTAACTTTAAAATGTATATGCATTTGCTTAATTCAAAAATATTTAAATTCTGGAATTGCTGCTTTTTTATTTTATTTTAATTGTGAGAAAAGAAGACAACATAGCCTAATTTAAATATTTTGGGGACACAAACGTAACCAATTATTGTAAAATTACATCACACAATTATAATAAACCAGTTTTATTATTTACATGATAGAGAGATACGGAAGGTGGTGTTTACCATACAAAGTGTTTCACTTTCAGTCAAAATTACATCTGAACAAATGGATTTTCTTCTTTCGGAGAAGGTTTTGCCATGCGTGTCCTAGTGTCGTCTGCTGTGGGGTGTCTCCTCAACCAGGTGTTCACATAGGGTTCCACATTCTACTCGTTTATACTTGGTTTATGTTGTTTTTTAAACATAAGGCTTAAAACATGTCTGGTTAAGAGTTTAGTTCGCAAATCAGTCATTGAAGCATTATTGGTCCGAATTTTTTTACTGTGAACCGAATTGCATACGATGTTGGAATTAGGTTCATCTTACTCTTAACTTCAAAAGTGAAAATAATTTGAACTCCGCAACCACTCTGGGGGTGGTTGCCACCCCTTCTCGGAGATGAATTTTTTTTTCAAAATAACCTTGGATATCAATAGAAGGCCTAATTTTAAGCAAAAAATCATCTATAAAGTTTTTCGAAAATTCAATACTTTTTAAGATATTGGCAATTGAAAATTCGCAATTTTTTCACGTTTTTCATCGGTTTTTTGCAAATATCTCCAAAAATATACGTTTTATCGAACACTTTATACAAAACAAAATTGTAGCAGGTAAAAAAATGAACAATTTGGTTTTTTATAAAGTATTCTAAGTGCAATAAAGATTGCCGTTTTTTATTTTCTCTGAAATTTAATCCATGTGGCCAATGCCATCTAGCGGCGAGCAAATGCATTTTATGCATTCTAATAAAAAATGTTTTTGTAGTGCTTGAAATAAGCTTTAAAATGAGCAATATTGCACATAAAATAAGTGAGCTGTATTGCAAATAAAAGGAGCATCTAATGTTTTTTCTTTTAAATCAATGGGTTTCATAAGTGCCATTTCCACCAAAATTAAAATTAATCATATTCCGCCTAGCCAAACTTTATTATGAAGAGTTTGATAGATTGTATCAGTTTCTGCTCCAGGACACATATTTTTCAAAAAAGTCACGATTAAAAAAATTTCAAATTTAAAAAAAACCTTAGGTATTTTTCTGACAAACAATTTGGTTTTTTTTGTTTTTTCTGTCGAAACAAAAATTGACGGAGATATGATTGTTTAAAGAGCGCAATCATAGCCTCTCTTAAGCCCTTTAACCATTCACCGTTTTAGAAAAAGGTTTTTTTTTTACTATTTATTGCAATAAAGGATGTTGTAGCTCTCTTAATTACTTTTACAATGTTTTTTTATAAATTGGGATAGCATGAAAATTTAAGGAGTCATGGTCCAAAAACTTATACTTTTTTTTACTTAGTAACTGAAAATTTCGGAATGTGAATATTTGGAGCAATGTGAAAGTAGGCAGTATAATAGACATAAAACTATTGTAATATGTATATATATATATACATCATATATTTTGGAAACGTAGGCATGAATATACATACCAACGTTCTTATATGTATTTTGATTCTCTTTTGTCTATCTCTATAAGGAAACCACTGAGAAATATTTGAAGCCACAAAAGTAAGTATTGATAGGATCATTCAGCCCTGAGATTTATATTTTATTACCTATCTTTTGATATGTTTAATTAATGAAATAATTAATTGAAGTAGATTACATCTATAAACATCAATAAACTCAAAGTAGATCATAATAATATATATTTTTACGAGAAATTTACAAATGCTACAGATTATACTTTTTCGAGACTAATTTTATATTTTTTCGACTTATCGTTACCTTTTTGTTACTAACATTGACCAACGTTTTATACTATTAGCAAAAAAAATATACTTTTCCCCAAATCGCCAGGAAATTTTGACATTCCTGTCAAAATTTCTTGAAGAAAAAGTCAAGACTTCCTTACTGTAAGGAAATGATATTTCCGTACAGTTGTTAGTGTTCTACATAAATGATAGAAAACACATTGCTTATAAGGAATATATAATATAAACAGATATAATATAAAGGATATATCGAAGAATCGCTTAACAATAAGGTTGAGGTGGCAAATAAAATTTTCACAGTACAAAATATTCAACAAAATGACACACACCCTGCATGTTGTCCAAAATGTTTCTCATAGTTCTAAGAGTGTTCCTCCAATGTTCAATAATTGTACTAACTGTCAAATTACTGTAAATATAACAAATTTCATCATCACTTATCATTTTACTTTCGAGAACACCAGCAATTAAATTTATAAGCGTCAAGTTTGACAATTCAACCTCAATATGTTTCCATAGTAACCCAAGTAATTTTATTAGGAATTTCAAAGCACCATTTATTTGGGAATAAAATTATCGCGTTTTTTTTTTAAATCAATCAATAGCTGTCGAATTTTAAACGATTTGCGGAAAAATAGTATGTTTACCTCGTAGGAAAAGCCACATTCCTGGACTCTGTGTTGCTAAGTCTCGGCTTGCTCCTCGACTTAGCAATCTTCACAGTCGTCCAGGAATGTTAAGCTTTTCCTACCCGGTAAACAATGTACTATTTTTCAAATCAAAAAAAATTGACACTTCAGAAACGCGTTTCACAGCATCATTTGATTTCAATGCTCCGTCCACACAATGAATGTAATCTATAAGTGCTTGTAATCCTCCATATGCACCCTGTGTAACATTTACTCTGTCGTAACCCTGCCCACTACATTAAGATAAATCAATTCCATAGGTATTTTGACACAGTATAAGAGTTACAAAATAAGAGTTTTTAGCCATTCTGTACTGCAGTCAGCTACTGATATGAACCCCAAAAAAGACTGACACCCTTTCGTTAAAACATCAGCAATTAAATTATAATAGCACCTTTATTTTTCCTCCTTATTATTAACCTCGTCGTTTCTCCTGATTCTCCATGTGCCATCTTCTTCTTGTACCGGGCCATATACTTTCCTCAGTATTTTTCTCTTGATTGTCCTGAGTTGGGCTTCATCTTTTTTCGTCATTACCCAAGTTTCACATCCATAGGTTACTACGGGTCTAATCAGTGTTCTTCGAGGTCTACCTGGTGTTTGTTAAATTATTGGCTTTTTCAGACAGCTCAAACTGTGGCACTACCTTTCTCCTTAAAGTGTCCGCACATGGAAGAGCACCCGACCCTGGCAATTATTTAGCAATATATTCACACACAGCTGGATGATCCAATTTATGAAGTAAAATGTTGGCTTTCAGCTAACTGGATACTTGAAGTAACTTTATTTTACTATGAAAACTTTTTTGATAGACTATGTTCTCACTCAGTAAAAATTGACGGAATGAGCACTGATTGTCCTGGTTAATTAGCCGACTTTTATCCCTAGATAACAAACAGTCGACTTATTTATATTTCTCAAAGAATCATCATTGAAAAATATCAATTCCTTATCTTATCTTAACAATTTCTGAAGTGGAAATGGAAACATCAATATAAACTCATTTTAAAGTAAAAATGTGGCTTATTCCCAATAAAAATAGAAAATTGTATTAAGATGCCACAAAAAAATAGCTTCACAACAATATTGGGTATAATCCCTGTTAAATCCTTTTTCCAAAATAATATACCTAATTAATTATTCTTGCTGTGTGGGAATCATCTCATTAAAAAAAAACCTTTCAGTAAATACACCAATTTTATTTATTTTTCATGAATTTTGTATAATAAGTTAACAAAATTACAAATAGTTCCAATACCACTATTAGAGTAATGCATTATATTTACACTTTTCTAAGACTTTATAGATAAATACATTTTGCCTTTTAAAGTTTGCTTTACTGGATTAATCTTTTTCAAAATCTGAGTCATAATGTTGACCAACTGTTCACTAGATAAACCAGTCTTTTTAGATTTAAACTTCTGCAACAATTCTGTTGTTGTCATTGGTTTCCTCATTAGGTATTTCCTAACAGCATCCTCTGTAATGCCTGATTCACTTGAGCCAGGTATGAAATTAGGAAGATCCATTTTGACTTTTTTGGGACTAGGTCCCGCCAAAGCGTCATTAATAAGTTTTCTCTTGTTATCAGTAGGAGTAGCTGACCGTGAACTGTTCTCACTACTAAGTTCTTTTTCTTCTTTCTTTACTTTTTTCTCTTCCTTCTTATTTTTCTTTGATTCATCATCTGAAGTGCTATCTGAACTAAAATCATTATCATCGTTTTTGGTTTCTTTTTTTTCTTTTTTCGCATCTTTTTTGGTCTTCTTCTTCTTTTTCTTTTTGTCCTTTTCGTCAACATCATCCTTCTTTTCTCCTTCTTTGTCTTTTTCTTCATCTTCATTGCTTTGTTCCTTTTCAGATTTCTCACTATCCTCATCTGATTCTTCATCAGAATTCAACAATTTTCTAAGAGCCTTTTCTTCTGCAACACCATCCAAGTTTATATTCTCAGGTTCACTATCACTACTATCACTTATATAATCAAGCTCTCTGCCTTCTCCATCTCCATCATCAGAATCTTCAAATGCTTCGGCATCTGTATCTCGTTTTTTGTTCTTCTTGGGAACTACCTTCTTGGCTTTTTTCTTTTTATCTGTTTCTTCAGAATCCTCTTTCTCCTCTTCAGCAGAGGATTCATCATCGGAACTGTCCATCCATTCATCCATCTCAGATATTTTGAGCTCCTTTTCTTTTTTGGATGTAGATTTCTTGCTTTTCTCTTCGCCTAAAAATATGAAAATATAATATTTTTTTCATCATAAAATTTTTAATTTTTGATTAACGAGTATAAAAAAACATTAGAGTATAGAAATGCCAAATACATATTGTAATTTTCCTAATTATTTAGTATTACTTCAGAATATTGCAAAATAATTATTATATAATTAAATTTCAAATTGGAAATATGAATTCAAGAGCACATTTACATAATAAAATTACAAAACTGGTTATACCTTCATCCAATTCAGTTTCCTCTTCTCCTTTTAGTCTTTTTCTCAACATCAAAGAAAAATAGTTCAAGTGTTTGTTCCTTTTACTAAATTCCATTTCAGCTTCTTCAGCTGATAAAGCTTTATACCTCTGGATAGGTTGAAATTTATACCATTCTTGTAGAGGAAATGCTTCAATTGCTCCATCCTCTGCATGTGTAAATACATAATATGCTGTATTATTTGAAACCCCACCTAATATAATAAAACAGATTACTTAAAGTTGCTGAAAAAATATAAAATGGTTAGGTAAAACGTTTACCACCAATTACAATACGTAAAATAAAAAATAATTGTCCACATCATCACAATTTGTATTGTATTAATAGTAGTGATTGGAAAACCTGGTTCGTTTTTGGTGCCCAGGTCTTCCAGGTCATTCATTAAAATGATCTGTTCATAAAGATCTGTTCATATGAACGACTATTTAAATTAGTTGTGTAAAGGTCATCTGTGTAAAGATTAATATTGTTATGAATCTTTCCAAGAGTATATGAATTAATGCTAATGCAGGACCGTTCATAGAGATTTGTTCATTAGAATGACTTTAATTATATTGCTGTTTACGTGTAGAATTCGATATTGTTCCTATAAATCTAAGAATGAAATATAGTTTAAGGCTGACATTAAGATTTGTATTTCTCAAATCATCTTCAGAAATAATTAAAATATAAAAAAAATACATGAAAAAGTTAATTAAAATTACAAATTCCTTATTGTTATGTTCATGAATGAATGATATGAAACAATTAAAATGGATTTTATTTCCTACAAATTTATAAACAGAACAGACTACGGAACTATTGACTGGACAATTCGAATGTATATAATTTTACAGTTTTGAAGCATAGGGCTTTTGCCATTCTGGGAAACTGAATTCAGCATTTGAACAATCCTTTGCGGTTCACGGTATTAATTTGACTGAGCAAGGTGTTGCGATCACACAGTTAGACAGCGTCATTCATAGACATGATTCATAGGGTCATTTGAACAATAGGGTCACAAAATATGATTGTATATTGTATCAATCACGGATCTTTGAAAAAATCAGATCTTTGTGAACGCATCGTTTGTGACCTTCTCATCACTATAATAGGTTGGGATCAAGTAATTTTCTCAGATAAAACTCTGGTAAATGCAGGCATACAATAACAAAATAACTTAAAAGACGCCAAAATTGAATTACGAGTTGATAACTGGACAACTATTTTTAACTTACTCTATACTCACCTTCTCTAATCCCTTTAAACTTTTTGACAGTGCTTCCATATGACTTTAAAATCCATGGTTGATCTTCTGCCTTGTATTTCCTAGCCACTATACCTAGTTTTTTACGTCTAGCTTCCTCTTTAGCTTCTCTACCAAATTCCGAACCAGCCCCAAATTTTGGAACTTCTTCATCTACTCCTTTAAACTCTTTCATATTGTTTTCTCTTTCCATACTAACTTTGGTCCATTTTTCAAAATCCACATCTAAGGTTCCATTGAATCGCATTACATGATATCTTTTTTGTACATTTTTTGGAACTCTTATAGAAAACTCTTGGACATTAACTGTTGGAGATTGTCCAGGGATTGAGCCTTTTGTATTTTGCATGTTTTAAATAACAATAATGGAAATATATTTTAAAATTTCATGTATATTAATTCAGCGTCACTTAATTTAAAGTCTTACTTTTATATATCTTCAGTACTTTGATATTTAACAAAATAATTCTATTTACTAAACCTGCTCCTGCTGTTATAGACAATGGACCGCAGGAGTGTGACGTCACATGTCATTATTACTTTCCAAACAAACGTTGAAATGTCAAATCTCAAGACTTTTTAATTCCTATAAAGTTAACATTTTGCTTCCTCTGCTGCTTTTTCTTGTAAGTATAGTGTTTTTACGATAATACCGTCATAATTCAGAGTTCTATTTCTATGAAATATGGTTTAAAAGTTTAATTAAAGAAATTTTAACCTTACTTTATTGATACTTTCATTTTATTCCTAGTAGCATAAAACAATGTGCTTTATTATTTACACAAACCTTGTAAAATTGTTGTAGTAACTATTAGAATACTTAAATATTGCAAAAAGCGGAAAGATTCTATAAAATAAATGAAAAAATAACGAAAAATACAAATTATCCACACTAAATAAGGTTTGTTTGGAAAGTGAAACTGGCAGATGTCAATCAAATCTACGTCATCACTCCTGTGGTCCATTTATTCTTTTGACATGATTGTCAACTGATGTCATGTGTCATGTTAAGTGATGTCATCCATATATGACGAACTATTAAAAAAATTTTAAATTTGAAACGTTAAGGAAACTACAGTTTGAATATATTTATAATAAATTAATAACGATTCGTAGGAAAAATATTTCTAATCTATATTTGTAAAACAATGACAAGCTATACCTCAACATAACTATAATATAGTGTGAAATTGCCTAGGTTACTGTTATGAAAAATAGACTAATTGTCAATAACTTTCCAGCTTAGTTGCCGATGTGAAAAAATTTCTGCAAAAATACTAAATACGCATTGCAGTAGATTCGAGTAGAAAGTTAAGAGTGATAAAATGTTTCCAACATTATACGAAACCAATTTTCAGTCGTCCAACGCAGCAAAAATAATTACGCGTGCGTAAAATAACTTTCCTTTGTTGTCCTCTTTCGTTTCTGTTTTCGTTTCTCGTTCGAGGTCAAATTTGCCAGCTGTTCGTAGACATTTCAGCTGATGTTTGTTTTTGGGTGGTACATTTTGATGTGACATACATTTTATTGAACGTGCTGCTATAAACAATTTGCAATTACTATAAATATATTAGAATGTTTCTTAAATAAAGCTCATAAATTCGTTTTCCGTTTTGTCAAGTAATAAATCTCACTAATGACGTAATAGATGTTTTTGTTAAGACAAAGAGCTTAATATATTTTTGTTTAAAAGATAATAGAAATCTGGAAAGCGAGGAGGTACAGCGAATTTCAAAAATAAGTCTGGATAGTGATTCATCCGGGGACGACGGTGGTGAACCGCCTCGTAAAAAAACCCGAAGGACTACAAAAAACGAGACAATGCAATCAAGTAACGGGTTGGTACAAAATGGGGCACCGTCTTGTAGTAACGGGGCTGCTGAAAACGGTCACGCCGATGGTGAAAATGGATTTTTCCTCAACCAGACGAACCAAGAAATCGTGAGACTGATTGGGCAATATCTTAAAAATGAAGGATTGACGTAAGTTAATGACCCCTAAAATCAATTATAATAGTAAGATATATTTTTTTTAATTATAGGAATTGTATATTTTTTCTGTTTTAAAAATAGCTTTGTTATTTTCAAATGAAGTTGCACATATGCAAGTCATTGCAGTTTTGAGACACCATTGTTTTTCTTTTTCCATAACCTATTTATTGAAACCTCACAAAAACTTTTATTTTTAATGAAAATACTTAATATTTCTTAATTTTATTGACGTGATGTTTACTATAATCATATACAAGAACAATGCTGAAATTTGTATTAAACTGAAAACATATAAACAATAAAATATAAGTAATTTAGAAAAAACACTACAGATAAGTAAATTGTAAAAGAAAAATAAAATGCATCCAATAAATTATGTGTTAAAAGTATGAACAAAAAGAATATGTAAAACATAAAAAATATATCATTGCAGAAAGATGTTAGAAAAAATAAAAATCAAACTGAATAAATAGGCATAAAATAAAACAAGAGATATTTATTATTAAAAAACAGTTTAGATGATACATCTACACAGTGAAGCATGATGGAACTAGAAAACAAATACTATAATTGGTTATAACAAATAAATCAACAGAGATACCAGAAAGATTATCATTTAATGGTAAAAATATAAAGAAGAAAGACTTAACTTAATAGCAATAATTGGAAAGATGTGGAGTATGGGAAGTAGTATGAACTCAATTTGTTTGTCTTTGGGATATGAGGAAATGTCTAATATATTAAATTTACTTTATATTAACACTTTGTCTGTTGTCTCAGTCTGCATGACTGAGACTAAAAATTGAAATAAAAGAAAAGAAGAAATTGTAGAAAGCATATCTACAAGACAAAATGCACAAAAAAATATGAAAGATTAATAATTCAGAGAATAAAAAGCTACATATAGAGTCAACAATGAGAAAAAGAAAACTAGGACAAGTTCAGAGAAAAAATGGAAGAAAACATTAACGAAATGTAAAATTTATAGAAAATGTATAGAAAATAATATATAGAAAAATTTAAAACCTGTGAAACAACAAAGAAATAAAACTTAAACAAATAATGACCAAAAACTGAACAATATTAACCAATGATAACAATATAATGGAAAGATGGAGAGGAGTTTTAAGCATTTGTTAAACAGAGAGCAATGAAAAGCATAGTAAAATGAAAACAATGTAAATCTCAGATCAGAGGAAACAGAAGCTATATAGAAAGAAGAACTAGAGGAAGCAAAAGGAAAGATAAAGACTGAGAGAATGGTCAAATGCAATAATTTTACCAGTGCACAAGAAGGGAAACACAAAGGAATGTCCCTATCCCTATTAAAACTATATGAAATAATAGAAAGAACAATCAGGATAGAAATAGAACATAAACTAGAGGACATACAAAGAGTATTCAGGAAAGGACATAACACAAAGACCATATATTCACTATGCAACAGGTAACACAGAAGATCTTAAAGAAACATAAAGAAGTATATGTAAGTTTTATAGACATGGAAAAGGCATTTGATTCAATCAAAAGAAAAAATATATGGAAGAGCCTGAAAAAGCAACATGTAAGAGAAGAACTGATGGAAGTAACTTAAAGTATATATATGAAAACAATAAACATAATAAGAACACAAAATATGCAATCACAACTATTTGAAAAAACACAAGGAGATAGTTTAAGCCCAATACTTTTTATAATGTAATAAATGAGATAGTGAAAGAATGTAAGAGAACCTTTACAAAATACTGTATAGAATGCAAAGAATATATATAGTATTACAGTAGACTCGCGATTATCCGAGTCTAGGTTAACCGAGCCCCTTGGTTATCCGAGGAGGAAGTCATAACTGGCGAGTCACAATTGCGAACATTTATTTATTTCCAGAAATTTCTGTCCCGTTTTGTCTACAATTATTGTTCCTATGTTAATTAGTGTGATTTGGACAAAGTAAATCAATAAAGTGGGTCAACTGAAGTGTGAGTGGTGAGTGTAGATTGGCACGGAAGATCATGAAGAAAGGAGACCATAGCCAAATATCTAAGGCGTCATTTTCAGGATTAAGAGATAAGATTAGATGAGATAAAGATATCAAAAGAAACTTTCACAAGAAGTTTAAGAATGGACGAGAAAACATTTGTGCTAGTGAGAGATAATTTACTCATGGAAGAAGAAATATGGTATTCAACAATTAAATCTTTGCAGCGAAAAACTCTCTGCTGGCTCAACTAAAATTGGAACATTTTATTTAAAATTATAGGATATTATCCATAAAGACTTACTGACTTCAGACCAAATATTCAACTGTGATTAGACAGGCCTTAATTTTAAAAGGCTTTTTTGACTGTAACATTTTTAACAGCTGTTTTTTAACGACTTTGTACCAGTCATTGATGCCTACCTAAAAAACAAAAATCTGCCTCCAAAAGCTCCATTGTTAGTGGACAACGCATGATCCCGCACAGATGCGAGTGAATTGATTAGTGGTGATATAAGAAGCTGTGTTCCCTCCACCCAATGTGACGTCTTTTATCCAACTCCTAGAGCAAGGCGTTATATAGAAGCAATGAAGAGGAATTATCTGTGGAGGCTTCTTTAGATACTGATTAAGAAGTTTGAATAAATGGCTGACTGTCATTGACGCATTGAAAAAGATCACGGTTAGAAATGTTTGCTATTGGATTGCTTTGTCATGAGACGACATATAAGTGTCCAATATTCAAAAATCATGAAAAAAATTATTTCAGATAGAAAACAAAACACTGGATCGTAAAATAAAACCGTTGACTGTGAAATTGATACTATAACCAACCTGGCCAATCAGAAATCAAGACGTCATCGATTGGATGAATGGAGATAAAAAATGGAATTGACAGATGACGCAATTTCCGATCTAGTTCTAAAAATCAACCATGAAGAAAAAGAAGATACAGATGAGATAACTTAAAAGATTTCCGATTCCGAATGCGTTCCTTGAAGCAACTTAACTTAAAAAGAGGAATAAACCTTACGCAAAAATCAATCAAAGACTTTTTAAACAGTAATATTGATAAGCTAAATGTTTTATCTTTTATATATACTGCTGTGTTAATTTTTAGTCATTAAAATAATCACAGTTCTCGTTATTTATGTGTTTTTCTATCAGTACAAAAAATCTCGATGTTAACCGAGTTTTTTCCTTATCCGAGGTAGTCACGGTCACAATTACCTCGGATAATCGCGAGTCTACTGTATTCGCTGAAATAGCAGGAACTGAAGCACAATTTAGAAAATTTAACTCAGAAGAAATATCAAGGAAGACGAAGATGACAATATATGAAACAATATATAGGCCAACGCTGACATGCAGAGTAGAAAACTGGATCTTAAACAGAAGACACCAGAGTAGCATACAAGCAGCAGAGTGAAATACATCAGAAGAACAATAGGGGCAAGAAGGACTGACTTATTTGACACAATAAAAGGGAAAAAATTAGCATGGTTGAGTCATATAACATGAATATATAGTAACAGGTCAGTGAACAAAGTGCAGAAAGCTAAACCAATAGGGAAAAATACAGAAGAGGCAGACCAAGAAAAGAGTGGAACAGCGACTTAGCAGAGATATTTCAAAATAAGGGTGAATCTTGGCAAGAAACAACACAAATGACTGAAAAGAATGGGGATAATTCATCAAAAGCTAGAATCACCTGCCTCGACACCTAACAGTAAAAGAGTAAGGATTATGTATGTAAAAAAATCCTAAGGCTATTAAAATGACCACCAAAAGATGACCCATCAACGTTAAGGTCTAAAAATATTGAGAAACAGCAAAGAAAAAATATAATAATTGGAATATAATAAAATAAAAAAGGGGATGAAGTGGGGAAATAAAAGGGTTAAGCTGTATATTAAAATGTCCTCAGGCTATTTTTTAAATTATTTAATAGTTTATAGGATGATGAATTTTTAATTTCACTAAAAAACATGAAATTTACTGCGTGTATTTTAAATATTAAGTTACATTTCCCTAAATAACTGTTTCAGCATTCAACAGATTGTTCTGAAATTTTTACTGAAGTTGCTTTTTGAAGTATGGAAGGTGTGCCTCTAAGGATAACAGACTTATAATAAGACTAATAAGTGTAGCTAACATTTTATCAATTTCAAAATTTTTAAGTTTTCCCTCTATAACTTTTTAAGCGTTTATGATAAAAAAATTAATGAAAACAATTAAAACATTAATTAATAAAATTATAAAATACCAGAATGGAGAATGAGTGAACTAATAAAATTGTACTATTCAAAAAAGGAGATAAAAACAGTGAGAAAACTACAGAGATATAAACTTGTTAAATACTATGCAAACACTTACAACTAAAATTTTAGTGCTAATAAGTCAGAGGATAAGTTTAGCAGATGAACAACAGGGTTTTCATAGTGGAAGATCGTGTACAGATGCAACATTCGTTATAAAGCAAATTACTGAGAAATCGCTAGAGTATAATAGACCAGTATTTCTGGTCCAAAGACTGGTCCATAGATTTTTATTCTTTGTTGAAAAACAGAAACATCTATGGCTTGTAGAAGTCTATGCCTTCAAAAATAAACCCTAGCTAACATTGTTTTCGTTGCAGCGGTATTCATGATTACTTTTGTTAAGTTACATTTTTTTAAAGTACACTATCTATATCATATGCAAATCTCTGAAACTTGTCCTGATCATTAGTATTTGTGTTACACAACAATATCCTGTAAAGCTTAATCATATACTTGAACGCTGAAAAAAAAAAATTTATTTTTATTATTTTATTTTGTACATTATAATTCAGCAAATCAAGCATTTTTTTTTTCAGTAAATTTATGCATTTTTTTTCTACAGCATTCAACACTTTTCATTAAATTTTATCACTCGCGATTTTTTCTCATTTTCAAGTAATAAAACCCATTTAAGAAATAAGCCGTTATTTTAAAAATTTAAAAGTTTTTTTTAATGAAAAATAATAGGAATTTGCCAATATACAAAGACAAATATAAAATAACTTAGTTTCTCAATTGACTTGTGTAATGTTTAATAAATGTATATATGTTTTATTTATCTGTACAGTAAAACATCTGATTCACTTATGGACGAGTCAGGCTGTCGCCTTGATCATCCAGCAGCTGCAAAATTCCGTCAGCATGTCATGGATGGAGACTGGTCAAAGGCTGATCATGACCTTCAAGAATTGCGTCCCCTTTTGGGACAAGATGCCAATATTATGGTATGTATTTAAAAAAAATTATACACCAGCCTTGTAATTATTTAGTAAGACAGAATGATTCAAAAATTTTTGTGGACTTAGACGAAGAAGTGAAAAAAACTCAAATTTTAATGTTTTCTTTGCTGGAAACTAGTAAAAGTTCCCAAAAAATACAGAAAAAATAAGTATTATGAACCAAAAAAAATTACTTAGAAAGCGAATAAAGGTATAAATATGTCTTAATAAAAAAACGTAACTAAAACTTAATAAATATTACAGATTTTTACTATTAAATTATGAAAAAATACGTAATATTGTTTAAAATTATGAAGATTTTTAATATTTCAAAACAATATGGCGGACATGCCCAAGAATTTAAATTTTATGTACATTCGACATTTTTGCCACTTTTAACCTTTAAAAAACTAAAAATTTCATGACAATTACCTTAACAAATAGGTGGATGCAATCTTAATAACCAGGTGCAAAACGAGTGCTCGTCTTAAAATAAATCCCGAACTTGTTATTTACGAATTCTTGCTAAGTGGCTGTACATGTAATAAAGTTGCCACCAATATATATATTTTCTCTACCGGCAGTGTACTCGCTTCCAAAAAGGTCCCTTTCTTTGTTGATAGAGTAAATCTCTAATTTCTTGGGCATTACCATTATTTAAGCACAACGCAAAACTTTCAATAAATGTTAGTTAATACCCACTACACTCCATTATAGCTTTCTTTGGTGACGATCAAACAAGAAACGGGTTGAAAATGCTATTCCCCACCAATATTTCAAACACAATTGCCAAATTTAGATAGCAAAAATATTCCAAATCTGTAGTACCGGGCTTAACGAGTCACCCTGTCTAACTCCGCTTTGTACTGGTATACACATATTAAAGATTTAAATTAATAAATTACCTATAATACATGTTTTTAAATCGATCAATTTCATTTAATTAATTTCAGGAAATGAAGTTTTTGATACTTGAGCAGAAGTATCTAGAATTTTTAGAAGACGGGCGAGTTTTGGATGCATTGCATGTATTAAGAAACGAATTAACACCACTGCAGCACAATACTGCAAGGGTTCATCAGCTATCCAGCTTTATGATGTGTTCCAGTACCGAGGAATTGCTTGAACGCACAAATTGGTAAGTAAATATTAATTTTCTACAAATCCAGTGCGTAGATTGCATTCTACAAATCCAGTGTGTCGTTGTAGCGGTATTTATTCAAACAAACGATATATAAAAATACTCCAAAATACCGTGTTTATTCTGCGAAGGTTGCTATATTGGACAGACAAGCCAATGGTTAAAACAATGTATTACCCATCACAAAAGTGACTGCCATAAAGGTAAAATCACGTGCATTGTTGTCGAACACTTAATCACCACAGGTCACAAGTTTGACTATACTAATGTTGAAATCCAACAAACAGTAACTTATTATAAAAACAGGTTGTTTCTCGAAATGTGTTACAGTTGCGGTCACGGAATAGTTTACACCTTACTTTTTATATTGTAATACTGTAAAATTGCAGTGTCGTACGGATTTGATAAATGTCAAAGTCAAAAAATTTCAAAACGTCAATGCTTTCGCGAGTGTTCAACAATAAAATAAAAGTATATTAAACTCTTCCAAAATGGTTAGAATACATTTGAATTATGCGCAAAAAGCAAGAGCAATTGCCAATTAAGATCATAATCCATTTTATTCAAAAAACTGTTTTCTATATTTTTCATTTTGTAAAATATTTTGATATTTTAATTTTAATCTACCTATTCTAGCTAGTACCACCACTGGCAACGTCACTTTGACGTAAAAGGTGCGTTTAAAACGAAGTAAAAATTTAAAAAATGGGCTCCTAGATACGTCAACCTGTAAACTATTTCCGTGACCGCAACTGTACATTACCAACACAAAAAATGTTATAAATTACAAAGTAGATACGAATCAGTTAAGCAGGATCTACAGCAATAGGTGGTCACACAAGAATACAGTTCTATGTGGTCTAAGTTTGTTGCCATATTTATTAGTTGGTTGTAAATCGAAAGAATAGAGAAGGACCTTTGTTCTTTGCTACGAATTTGATTGCTATGTCTAGAACACTTTATTATTTTTTGATGTAAAACAATAATCTCTTTTTAATTCATGCTTGGTTCAATAATATTGTCTGAACTATATTTAATATTTTCAGGGAAGGCAAAGGGATGCAATCTCGCATGGTACTGATGAACAAATTACAGTCGTACTTACCGCCTTCGATAATGTTACCGCCGAATAGACTTCACGAGCTGTTAAATCAAGCACTCGAACTTCAGGCTATACGTTGTAGCCACCACAACACCTCTCAGGGAGTTTCTTTACCAGAAGCATCATTATTAGTTGATCACCGTTGCCCTAAATCGTCTTTCCCTATTTATACAATACAGGTAAGTACTTAAAGAGGTTCTGATACTAGGTTTATTCTGACATGTGTAAGTTAAATATTATTTTATATTGGATTAAACCACAATTTATTGTAATGGGCCTCGAACTGTTATTGTTCTCAATCTTGTAGGCAAACAATATGCTTATGGTTGAAAAAATCTGAGGGTAGTGTTTTTACCCTCAGAATATCAAATTCTGACTGTTTTGTCTGTGTTTTTGTATAATATTTTGATGACATGTGTGTTAAAATAGATTATTTTTGTTTATTATGTGTTGCATATGTATTGTGTATAAATTGTAGATGATGTGTCTTTGACTTCCTATTAATTCGCTTTTGTTGATATACACTTTTCAACAATTGAAGTGAATATTATGAACATGTGTATTTTATTTTTTGTTCATAAGGTCAAATAGAAAAATGGAGTGATATAAATAAAGATGTATTTGTAATTCGTATTTTCATACAGATGAACCGAAAGAAAGAAATTCTTTAAGAAAAAAAAAAGAAAATAAACAACAATTGTAAAATTAACAACCTAAAATTTCTATTTCTGCTCAATTTCTAATATCCCAAAAAGAAAATTAATAGTGTGTGGATCCACCTAAATGTCGCCTTAGTGCTCTAACTCTATTTGGAAGACCTCTTATTAAATTATTGATGAACTGCTGCGGTATACGTTCCCAAATTGGCCAACTGATCTAAGGTTTGGGGCGGTTGAAGGAGCCTGTTTTGTTGCCTAGACATTTCGGCCCAAACATGTTCAACGCAATTCATATCAGGTGAACATGCTGGCCACTCCATTTTTGTAATGCCATGAGCTTCTATACACCCGTTGACAATTCTCGCACGGTGAGGAGCGAGCATTATCATCAATCAGAACAAATTGTTCGCCTTTTGCAGCAAAAAATGAACAACTATTGGTACTATGACTCTGTCTCGATATCGTGTAGCAGTCATTGTCTCATTAATTAAGACGACTAAGTCCGTGCGACCGTCAAAATATATGCCTCCCCACACGCAAACGGATCCACCTCCAAAAAGAGTGGTTGGGACTCGAAGATTTTCATTGTAACGCTGTCCTCTTTCCCTCCACACCAATATTCGGCCATCATTCGTATACAAACGAAATCTGGACTCGTCAGTAAAGAGACAATCTCTCCAATTTTCGAAATTCCACTGATAGTGTTCCATCGCCCAGCGATATCTGCATGCACGCTGCTCCCTAGTTAGTCGTGGATGGATAGCACGCCGTCTAGCCCTTAAATTGGATGCATGTAACCGTCTTCTGACAGTTTGACTGGAAATCGCTCGTCCAGTAGTATGCCTGAAGATACTGTTAATTCTGGAAGCCGTGAATGTTGGGTTTCTTCTTGCCGTCAGACGAGTTGTAGATCGTTCCCTTCCTCCTCCATGCCTGTATGTTGCAGATCCAGTTGCTATATACCGATTCCATGCACGATTTATTACACTTTGCGACACATTTAGCCTCATAGCAACCTCTTGTTGAGTTATGCTTGTTGGATCCAACGAACTAATGCTCGAGCTGCACTAGTTCTAAACGTCTTTGCGGCATAATGTTTTTGTGATAAATAGATTTATTGACTTATTGACAATTGGTAAAGCCAAGACAAGCACTTTTATACGAATGATATATTCATATTTGGAACAACATTTCTCTCTTTGTACGAGATAAGGGCCGATAAGAATAGGGAGAAAAAAATTACATGCAAAAAATATTGGCAATAAAGATAGCATATAGAGTATAGTACAGGCAATTATTTTAAAAATAGTTTTATATGTTAATTTTAGGAATTTTAAAATTATCCACTTCATTTGTTCAGTAATGTATTCATTGGTATTGGTAACCAAAGCCTGCTACATTCTGCTGAAGTGTTTGCTACACATTTTTATTCATTAAGTAGGATGAGAGCTGCTTTTTTGACTTTTCTCTTTTTCATTTCTGTTTCTTTCGTGATTATTGATGCATCTTTCTATTGTACTTTGTGCTCGTTGTCCCAGGCAGGTTTGCATATCTGGGATTTGTGTAAGTCTATGTTCTTGATTTATATTTCATGCTCGTTTATCCTGACACCTAGTGGTCTTGCGGTTACTCCCATGTAAAAATTGTTGCATTCACAGGATATTTTATAGATATGTAGTTCTTTGATCTTGCTTGTGTGTTGTTGGGTTTGGTTTTGCGCAGGATAGATCTCAGTGTCTTGGTTGTTTGTTGTGATGTACTTATTTACAATTTTCTTCAGTTTTTCTGATAACCATTTTACATATGGTATTGTTGTCATCTTTGAATAACTTCTAGTGAGTGTTTCTGGATTGCTTGTAGTATTTTCTTGTTTTCTTTCTTCTATCCTGTGAATTCCTTGTTTATAAATGACAATGGATAATAATTTTTTGATAAAACTTTGTTAGGTTTTTTTCTTCTTGAAATACATTTTCGTTGGAACAGGTCTTTAAGGTTCTATCATATAGTGACTTAATGATTCCTTTTTGATATGTATGTTGTAGTTTGAATGATAATTTAACTATCTGTTGGTGTTGGTTGATTTTCTGTAGAATTAAGTGACATATTTTTGAAATTAACACATCCAGAAGTGGTAGGGATTGGATGTCCATCAAAAACTTGTTTAGTGCTAATGGTCCAAGAGAACACATCATCTACATACCTCTCCTTACTTATAGACGAAATTATATGGGTTGTATAATTTCTTATGATTTAGTTAATAACATTTGGTTGCTGCAAACATTTTCTTTAAATTAAAAATTGTAACAATGGTATGTAAATATCACCATGCTTTTTCTGAATTTATTTCAAAAAATGTAAACACATAGTTTGTTTCGATATAAATATAAAGTTGTTTTGTATTTTAAGGTACTAAATGATCATTGTGATGAAGTATGGTTCTGTAGTTTTTCTCCTGATGGGACCAAATTAGCCACAGGTTCCAAAGATCAAAATGTTATCATCTGGGACGTGGATCCTGATGCATGTACTTTATCGTTAAAGAAAGTACTGGAAGGGCACAATACTGGTAAGTTGATTTTATTTAAACAGTCACGACCAATCGATTTACTATGATCATAGGTAAGAAGGTTAGGTAGAATGCGATCTTACTCTTCATAAAATATGTCACGTATTTCAGCGCCACCTCTCGGCCTGGAAGTATACCATAATATGGCCTTCACATAATTGGTCTGTGGCTTCCACATGATAGGTGCAAAATTTTAAACGTTCTTGTTGTTGATTGGATAGTAGCTCCTACATGATAGGTGTGAAATTTTAAACCTTCTTGATGTTGATTGGATAGTATGCTCAAGGTGAGTGAGCGGTAAATTTGAAAGACTTACCGTACAGCTTGTCACATACGGGGAGCTATGCTATATTATATCATACCCGCTCTCTATAATAATAAATGAGCCTGCATAGACGGAACTAATGGTTCCGTGTATGCAGGCTCACCAATAAAGAGCGGATGATATAATATATAGTATAGTATAGCTCCCCTGCGTGACAAGCTGTACGGTAAGTCTTTCAAATTTACCGCTCACTCACCTTGAGCATACTATCCAATCAACATCAAGAACATTTATTCCAATAGATATTTTCATCGAGTGAACAATCAAGATAAAACACAACAAAATTTTCTTTCTTAATTATTTATTTATATAATATTACATGTTACAGAGTATACTATTTAAATTTAGTTTGTAAATTTTGAATTATAAAATGAAGATTTACGTCAATAATTATTATGTTTGTTAAAATTTATTTATTTTACCAGAAATTTTTATCAGAAGTCATACCAAATATAAAAAGATTCGAAATAGAAAGAGCTTTAAAAGGGCTGAAAAATAATAAAATTCCAGGACCCAACGGTATAGTTGCCGAGCTCTTGAAAACAAGTAAGCCACTAACCATCCCTATAATAACAGGTATTTAATAGACGGTTCCATAATAGCAAGATCCCTAAAGACTTGAAAGATAGTCTAGTAACAATATTTCACAAAAAAGGGGATAAATGTGATCTAAAGAATTATAGACATGTAAATTCTTGCTCAGTCTCAGTTGAAAGGATTTTGAAACAGTCATGTGTGACAGGCTTCTCAGTTTTTTCTATAGTAAGGGACTGTTATGCCATGCACAACATGGGTACCTTAACAGAATTCTATAGAGACTGTCATTTATGATTTTATAACAAAGATAAATGAGGGTTATGAAAACAAGATATATCCATGGGCATATTTTTAGATTTATCAAAGGCATTTGATACTTTAAATCACAAAATACTAATGGAAAAGCTTTACAGATATGGTATTAGAGGGCCAGGTTATAATTGGATAAAATTTTTAAACTTATTGCACAAAAATGTCTTAATAAATGCATTTCATTTAACAAGGTTGTTTTATTGTTTACAATCATATTAAATTCTAATATAGAAATACTTACGTTTTGGAGTTTGATTACTAGTTCCAGGACAAGTATCAATGTTTAATAAATAATTTGTGCCTGGAGGCACACTGAAACTATAGCTGGACATGACATTTTGTATGTCCTTTAGTAGAGGCCTTTCTGTCTGGGGTAAATGTATCTCACCCAAAGAGGCTGAAATAAAAAATTTGAGTGAGTGAAAACAATATCAATATTAAAGTTTCAATAATAAAAAAAAACCTGTAACTCCACAATGACAACAAAAATATATGTGCAGTACTAACTTAACTTTCAATATCTAAATCTTAATTATATACCTGGCAGATTGATAGATGGCAAAACTCCTGTTTTTAGTCGATTATTAGGACCAAAATCTTCTGCTTTGAAATGAATGGAGCAAACTCTGTTACTTGTGTAGACCTTTTGAGGATCTTTATCCAACAGGTTTTTATCACCCACTAAATGTACCCATTGATTAAAAAGATCCGCGTACTTTTGTGGATCCGGAAATCTATGTTGTACTTTTCCAACATGTCTGCACACAACAGTTGATGGGAGGCATTTTACCTAAAAATAAAAATCTTAAATCAAATTAAATAAATGTGTATTTTAAACACGTTATATAAACACTCTCGTTCCATGGATAAATCAATCAATCTACAATATAATCAAAAAATCTTACCACTTAATCAGGTGTATAAAAATATGGAAAAATAGGAATGAATATAAACTATTCTTATGGTCACACAAACCAAACAAAAACACCACTTAATCGGGTATAAAAAAATATCGAAAAATACGGTTGAAAATAATTTTTTAAACAGTCGCAAAAACCAAAATAATCGCAAACAAATACCACGTAAACAGCTACACGCTATAAAGGCTTCATTTTGAATTGGCTTTTTGGACGCCGTAGGTCACAGTGCAGGGCTTGTCAAATGTCATGTTCTATGATGCATAAATTAACGTTTTGCACGGCCTCATACGGCCTGGAAGTAAACTAAATAGAATAACATTTTTTTTACTAGAGTTCGCGGGGCATGACCAATGACGTATAATATATAGACTACGCAGTCCCCTATTCTCGCTATAGAATCGAGTGTCCGAAAGATCTCGGCTCAAAGTTGAAGGTATGTTTATTAGAACAGCGGCGTGCTCATTTATATGTTAATGACAATAATTATTTTTTTAATTAAAATTAAATATTTATGATTTCTTTTTGTTCCCGTCTATAAGAGAAATAATTATTTTGATAAAATAGTATGGCATTTTACTAAAATAGTAAGTAAATAACTATCAACAATTTAAAATAAAATTTGCTTGTCACACAAAATGGAGTACGTCCATGATGTTTTCAAACACAAGATCAACTTCGTGATGCTTCGTAAGAAATCATGAACTTCGTGCATCTTCGTATCAAAACAATAAACAATAACAAAGGTATTCATGTTTTGGACACTTTTTAAAGCGTTCACCGAGTCTATATATTATACGTCATTGGGCATGACTATGATCTAATGTTTCTTCATTTTTGAAAGCTTCATTATTGTAAGTAGACTGAATGAAGTTTATGTATTGTTACATTTAAATTCAAAAACCACTGTTATTTGCCAAATTAATAATATTGTTCTCTTAAAGCTCTATAATAAAATAATATATTATAATATAAAAAATAGGAATGTACCAAAGCCATTTCTACTTCATAAGCTGTGCTATGATAATTGGCAACATTGCAATGGCGGTTCAGGTATTGGGTCGATCCCGACGTATATGGCAAGTTTTTATTTTTAACGAGCAGTATTACAAGACCTTAAAGATGCATGTTGGAAAGGGTGATTCTGATAAAACATTGTGGACAAATTATGATTTATTATTATGAAAGCAAACACAATCCGGCAATTCCGCTATTTCTTGTGTGTTTGACTAACGACCTATGACAGAGAACACCGCAAAGAGAGAAAGAAGATTCAACAATTTAACCGAAGATACTCCAACAGCATTTTTAAGAATAAATTTTGTTTTTCTAATTAATTTGAATAAAGTCATTTTGATTAGATTCAATTTATCCATCCATTATATCAAGTGTCTACACCTTGCATTTTGTACAGCAAATATTTTTTCGGCTAATCGGGATAATTGTCTCGAGAAGAAACATATTTCATTCCCGCTACCCCTGATAGTTACCACAAACACAAATTGTTGTAAGGGCAACAGTTGGGCGCCTTGTAAAAATGAAACTACTCACGAAAAATTATTTTGTTAGTAATAAAAGGTGAAAATGGGCCCGGGATCCTGAACTAAAATTTATTAACTGTTTTTTTTTCTTTATATATATATATATATATATATATATATATATAATATATATATATATGTTACATATTTGAATAAATTTTTAATTTCAAAATAGAATACAAGTCACAGAGTAGTATTTATTTGTATGATAACAGCTGGCATATTGAGTTGATGGAAAATTTTTATCATTTGCTTTTTTACATTTAAGGTGCTGCGTACATATCGTGGAATCCGGATTCTACTCATCTTATTGCCTGTGGTCCCGATGATAGTCCAGAAGTGTGGCTATGGAATATAGAAACGGAAAACTTCCTTAAGGTCACACAATCGCAAGAAGATGCTCTCGTGTGCTGTGCCTGGAATAAAGATGGAACCAAATTTGTCGTAAGTATTTCAACACTTTATTTTTTATTTGTGTATTTTTATTTGAAAATCAGAACTATAAGATCTATAATACAGTATGTTAAGTTTTGGATTAGATATTGCACACTACATAAAGCGCTAAAATCGGCAACATTATTTCTTAGAGTACATAAACTCGATAAAAAATACACTAAACTGTATAAAGCGGTGCTTTTGTATCGGTTTTTAATTAATGTGAACCATTTTTTTTTGTTGAATTAAAAATAAAAACGGATTTCTTTAAACAGATAAAACAAAAAATGTACTCTTATTGAAAATTAATAATTTCTAATAAAATAAGAAATAATTCTTTATGTCCTACAGAAATTATTCAAATATTTGCCCTTCTACGGCTGAACAGTATCCCAACCTGTCATAAAAACTTCTGCGGATTGATGAAAGAGTTTCTGCTGTAACAGAATTGGAGACTTCTCTTATTCGATTTTTTAATTCATACAAATTTTGGGCTCTAGCCTCAGGATGATCGTAGATGATGCTTTTTAAATGTCCCCAAAAAAGAAGTCCATGGGTGTAAGATCTGGAGATCGCGCAGGCTGTTCCACTGATAATTCGATTTGGGAAAGTATTGTTTAAATACTTCCTAATAATTCGAGCGTTGTGAACTGAACAGCCGTCTTGACGAAACCAAACATTCTCCAGATGTACATCAGGAAGATTATGAATAAGATTAAGAATAGCGATTTTGTAACAAATCGAGGTATACTTTACTATTTATGTTGTCTCCTAAAATGCCAGTCCACATAACTTTTTGAGGACGTTGAGTTTGGTTAACACTTCTGTGTTGGTTTTCCGCACCATCATGTTTCATGAATCATCATTTTTTTTAATAAAAAATATGATATGGGATGTTGGATAGAAGTTCTTAATAGTCCAATAATACTTTTATTCAATCAGGAAGGAGAAAATCAAAAGGAAACGACTATTGAAACGAAACTGAATTGACTGTAAATGGTATTGTGTATAGTAGATTTAATCGCCCTAATTGTGAGAAGAAATATTAAAATATAAACTATAATTGTCTTTTAACTTAACTCAATTTAATTATTGATATCATCTAAAAATGCTTGTCATTTGCAGGTTGGAGGCGTACGAGGACATTTTTATCAATGTGATTTGAAAGGAAACGTTTTGGACTCTTGGGAAGGCGTCAGAGTAAATGGCTTGTGGTGTCGTCAGGATGGTAAAACTGTATTAGCATCAGATACTCATCATAGAATAAGAGGCTACATTTTCGAAGAAATGACTGATCAGCAAATGTAAGTGAAAATAAGTATTAAACTGAAATTAAATATTCCAAAAATCTCCATTGTATTTATTTATACATCAGGTATTTGACATGACTCAAAATGTAAACGAAGAAGGCCAGAAAGATATAGACTCCTACTGGACCGGAATAAAGGAATATATTGAAGCAGCAGCAAAAAATGAAATGGGAACAGAAAATTGTAACCGTGAAAATCATTGGTTGAGTATACACAGAAGAAAGAAACAAAACCAATGAAATAAGGAAATTAAATATATAGAAAACCTTAAAAGATAGAAAAGAATTCAGAATATTATATAAGAAAGTTAAAATTAACACAAGAGAATTCATGGCAACTACAAACTCTGACTCAGAATAGCAGAAAGCATTTCTTATGATGTTTCTGGCAGACATTATGTCGTGTTTTCTCGCATTAGTGTCTAGATGTCAGCGACCTGTCTAGCGTGACACCCAATTATTGGTTTCTCCTTCTGTTCAAGAATGACACCATTTCATCGAACTTGGAGCCTCCTTTTTGCTTGGCAGATGTGGAGAATGAAGGAACGGATGGATTGGATGGCTTCGTTTAGTTCTTTAATTGTGAAGGGTATCCCCAGCAACTTCTTTCGGATTGGGGGGACTTCTAGTTATTTTTATTGTCTGTTGTCTTGAGCTGGGGTTTCCATTTGATAGAAACTGGCGAGCTACTTGATCTGGCATTACTTTATAGGGTTGTCTGGTCTCAGTGGGGTCACAACTGAGCTTTTTACTACTTTCCATGCTATCTTACTACTGTGGGTCGTATCGATTCTGTCCAAACTGTCCATCCACTTTGTTTGACTTGGCATTTATGTTTTTGTATTTTCCAATTTTTAGCATTCAAGAAGATCATCCAATAATGTCTTTCACGGTCGATAAGAAAGACAGATTGGCACTCTTGAACGTCGCCACTCAGGGTGTTCATCTATGGGATTTAAACGATAGATGTCTGGTAAGAAGATATCAGGGAGTAACTCAGGGACATTTTACAATACACTCTACCTTCGGTGGAGTTAATCAAGATTTTATAGCGAGTGGCAGCGAGGATAATCAGGTAAGAAATAACATACTACATAGTGTTTATTATATTGTGAGACATTATTAATACAGTGGTGAGTGCCATATCACCCGGCTTTTTAACGTAAGAGATAGAAAACACAGTTACCTTGTGAAATAAAAGGAGATGAAACTCGTAGAGGTGGGAAATAATCGATAGAAACCTATAATTTACATTACATTACATTACGACTATCGATAGTCTCACACCTTTAGACGTTACCTTCGATCTAAATCACCTCGGTCATAATTATTATGTTTGACAGTTTGACGTCGTATGTGTGACGTATTTCCATTTTTTAATTTAGATAAAGTAAAAACTGATTGACCACAATAAAGCAAAAATGTGAATAAAATAATTTAATTAATAGTGATTACTTATTCTAAAGTTTTAAATTATTAACCAAGAATAATTTCTACTATGATTTGAGGAGTTTCATACACTCTTGTCACAGAATAATTAGCAATCCTTCGTGGATTAGTGGTAAAAATTCGACTCTGCGACGCAGATGATTAGAGTTCAAAACCTACATGAGGTTTTCTTTTTTCTTTTTTAATAATTTGAAATTATGCAGAGATCGTTTTGCTTTGAATCACTAAACATTTATGTCAGTCGTTACTAGTATTTGAAGTGTTTAAAGTTAAACATAAACATCTTATTGAAAAAATAGTGTCGTCGTACTTTCGAAAATAAAGTAAAAATTCTTCAAAATTAAAAGAATGTTTAAATAAGTAAAAATTTTACAAAAATAAAAAAATATTGCAAATAAACGTATCTACAATATGTTCAAATAAGCCTTCATTAGCAGCAGAATAATAACCCAAACTGTCACTAAAGAATTATAAAAGTTTGATGGATCAGGGTTCAAGGCACGATGTACTCATGCAGGCGGTTAGGGTTCAAATCCTAGACAAAGTTTTTACTTTTTTAAAAATTTGAAATGATGCAGATATTATATCGTTTTGCTTTAAATCATAAAACATTTATTTCAGTCTTTATTAGAAGTGTTTATAGTAAAACATGAAAATCTTATTGAAAAAACAATGTACTTTCGAAAATAAAGTAAAAATTCTTCAAACATAAAAGAACGTTCTAAATAAATGTACTTACAAAAAATGTTTAAATAAGCAGAAATTCTATAAAAATATTCTAAATAAACGTATTTTATTCTAATGAAATGTATTTACAAAAAATGTTCAAATAAGCCTCCATTAGCAGCAGAACAATAACCCAATCTATTATAAAAGTTTCGTCTAACATTAGTTAATGTTTCTGGACTAATACCTCTCATTGAATCAAAGATCTTTTCTCTTAATTCTTGGAGAGAATTAGGCCTATCGTCTTCAATTCCATATAGTTTGGACTTGATATATCCCCACATAAAAAAATCACAAGGTGCAAGATAAGGTGATCTTGAAGGCCAAAAAATATCTCCGTGTCCACTAATCAATCGATTAGGAAAAGTCGCACTGAGATATTCACTGACGATGCGAGAATTATGTGCAGGACAACCATCGTGTTGAAACCATATGGAATCGAAAGGAATTGGTAAATTACGAAGGGCTGGGACAATTTGATTTTGCAGAAGTTGCAAGTATTTCCGCCCAGTCAACATACCGTCTATAAAAAATGGACCAATGACATGATTCCCTATTATGCCTCCCCAAACATTTACTTTTTGAGGACGCTGGGTACCAGCAACATAAATCTGACGAGGATTTCCTCGGGACCAATACCGAGCATTCATTGAATTGTGACGGCCATGCAATGAAAACGTACATTCATCGGTGAACAAGACGTTCTCTAAAAAATGTTCATCTTGATGTGACATTTCCATTGCAGTTTGACAAAATTCTAAACGTCTATATTGATCCCCAGGGAATTGTTCGTTGGATTTATGAAGTTTATAGGGTCGGTATCCATGTCTTTTCAAAATTTTACCAACTCTAAATCTTGAAATTCCATATTGTTCTCCGAGACGTTGATTGGGTAGGATTTTGCTCAATACTTGCACAAATCAAAGTGTCTCTTAGTTCCAAATCTGGATTTACCTCCCTTCGTCTACGAACTCCTCTTGGAGAGAATACGGATCCATAAGTAAAAAAATTACGTTTAATAGATTGAATTGTTGATCGTGATGGAGCCGGCCTATTTGGAAACATATTTACAAATTGTTGTCTAATCATGTTGTCTGAGAATCCATTCACATGCCAGACAACAATTTGCACTTTTTCCTCGACCGTTAAAACCATTTTCACGAATTGTTTTTTCAATAAAAAGTTTCTGTTTACTGTGCAAAACACTTCTCGATATGTTATTATTTGATGGCTTAAAGGCTTCGCTTCGCGCGCATCCATTCCTATGTTGTCAATTGTTTTGAAAATCATTATCTGTACAGAGGAATTGATATTAACATTGAGAATTTAGTGATGGATTTGATATAAACAGTCTTACCGGATTATTTTGCATTCACAACTGAAGACTGTATGAATTGAATTTGAATCATTTTGTATTTCCGTTTTATAACATTGGAATAAAAATAAATTGTAAATAATGAGTTTTTTCGAAAATTTGTTACCTAATATGTATCATATTTTCTATTATTTTTTTATTGATAAAACAAAAATTTTATCGTTGGTGTGGAATTGAACCCCAATTTTCTCGTCAATAGACAACGTTCCTAACCACTACACCAATTTCACATACATTAAATGTTTTCAGACAAAACATACCTACCTTTATTTTAGTCAAATATTTCAGTTGAGTTATTTTTACTATTAAATAAATTTAAATAAAATAAATAAATTTAAATAAAATAAATAATAAATAAATAAATTTAAAGATTTATAATTTAAAATCGCTACTAATGAATGTTTTTTACTATAATATATCTTAATTTATTCAAGTATTTATTCTAACATCAGAAATTATTAAAATAAAATATTTTTGAGGGTATCCGTATAATTATGACTGAAGTCAAATAGCCACGTCTAACGTCTAAAGGTGTGAGACTGTCGATGGTGGTAATGCAATGTAATGTAAATTATAGGTTTCTATCGATTATTTCCACCTCTACGAGTTTTATCTCTTTTTATTTCTCAAGGTAACTGTGTTTTCTATCTCTTACGTTAAAAAGCCGGATGGTAAAGCACTCATCACTGTATAAATTTCTATCAGTGACTGCAGAATTGGTATCATATCCTATAATTTAGTAGCGTGTCCAACTTTTTACTGATTTGATTTGTCTGGAAATTTGTGTGTATTATTTTTCCTATTATATAAATGGTTCTATAGTTTCCTGTTTACTTCATATATATTCGTTACATTTTAAAACATAACTTGGTAGGAACATTGTGTTTAAATAACAATAATATTATTAGAAAAAATTAATATCAAATTTTACTCAGTCTCGGGGTTGGACCTCGAGGTCTCAATCTCTTGAGACTCTAGATTATTTCAGTAGTATACTCTTCACACTCTATTCGGAATGGTCCATCTAATAGGCTGTTCAATAAATTTGGTTCACAGACAGATTTGCTCTAGTTCCTTGCTGATGATCATTAGCTTGGTTTTGCTGGTATTTATATCCAGTCCATATTGTCTACTTTGGTATTTCTGGTGGGGATGCGTTTGTACGAGGTGCTGACGGTATCGAGACGATACATATCGTTACAACTTATTCCCCCTAATAACAGTTTATTAGGTCTAGACTAGACCATTGTCTTCATTTCTTTTTTAAGGTATAGTTTGAAAAGTGTTAGTGCCAAGCAGTTGATTTTTGGCATATTTTCTAATGTTTGTGTGTCATTTTTATTTTCTAGGTGTACATATGGCATATACGTAACGAACAACCGATAGCTACCCTCCAAGGCCACACTCGAACCGTGAATTGCGTATCATGGAACCCCGTCTACCACCATATGTTAGTATCGGTATCGGACGACTGCACGATCAGAGTTTGGGGACCAAAAGACAAAACGCCTAAACCAACAGGTAGTAGCTGAGAATATGACGATGCGTTTGAATTCATAGATTGCTTCATTATAAAGGACAGTTGTTGAATACTATCGATAGCAGCGTCCATACTATGCGCAACGGCGTTGAATAATCTTTGAAAAGTCGCTATTTGTCCATAGTTCTCGGGTACAAATATCAAAGGTGTAATTGGTTAAAATTCAGTAAGTGAATACTCAGGTGATACGATTAATATGACCTGCTTCTTGGTTTTTCTTTTATTATCGCGCGTTTGATTCATTTATGATGATCTCCAGAATAAGGGAATGCTCCTTATATTATATGTTTGCTTAAGAGAGAAACATAAGTTTTCGCTATAAAACAATAATCAGAAGCACTTGTCACGAACAAAGAACGAAAATGAACACGATGAAACACGATTTTTACGTCTTATATTAGGTAACGGTTTTGTATCTTCCAATATTATATCAAAATAACACAGAAACTCACTTATAAGTCCAATACTGCAAACATATAACATAGGGATCTTCTTAGTTTACCTAAATTTTGCTAATGTTTTTTCATAGGTAGTAAATCTGTAGATCTGATTAATTTACTAAATTTTTGCCAGTATTTATTTGTATGATTTTTATTTCTGATTGCTAACGAAAGAAACTAGATTGAACAATAATTTTTGCTATAGAATAAAACGTAATATATGAGGATTATAATTATCAAAATATGCGAAATTTATTAATCAAAGTTTCTGCAGATCAACCTGCTCCAATTGATCTTCCGTTTAATTGTAGTAATCTTAATTCTTCACCCAATAAATCTTGGACGCAACTAATACAACTTTTGGTCAAATTGGTCATATTTATCAACATAGTCTTTGCTGATATTTCTGTACAGATTTGACCTGCTACTCTCCACTAAGACGGCTGCCGATTTTACTTCGGATTAAAAACTGATCCATGTTTAATCCATTGTCACATGCGCGCGCTAAAATTTCAATTTACAATCGGTTAAAATTATCTGTATCGTGTTAAATCAGTATAGAACATCTTTCTAACGCAGCAACATCTGGATAATCTTTATCAAGTCATTGCTGTTTGTTTTTTTCATCACAAAGCTCTGTAACTTCTAAATGCATACTCTGATTAAGCTAAAATATTGACAAGTAACATTTGACAGTTGGTATTTTTATTAGTGGCAAAATCTAAATGTCAAGTCCGAGATTTATTGAGTAATGTGTTATTTGCAAATGAGACCATACCGTTAAAAAATAAATACAATACTTATTTAACTTTCTGACTTTTCGATCGAAAGCTGTATCAAAATAATAAAAAAAAATTATTGAAACCAATCCAAACTTGTTCCATTCTTACGTCGTGGTCATTTTAGTACACATTTTAAACTTCTAAGAATTTAAAATGATGTTTTAAATGATATTTCCATTATTTATGGCAACCAAATGGCACTACATTCTAAGCAAGTTTGCTCGGTTGACAGTTTTTATTATATTTTGACAAGAGCTTTCGATATTTTTAGTTTATGTTAATATTTAGTATAATTTTCAGCACATTTCGAAATAAAGAGAAATTAACGAAACAAATATATGATTAATCTGAATATTGTTTAAGGAATATGAGTATTGCACAGAACAGATTTTTTTAGGATATATATTTGATACAATTTTTGTTCTCAAGCTATTTTCTTGTGGCATCTTATTGCAATTTACTGTTTTTATTATATAAATTATATATATATATATATATATATATATATATATATATATATATATATATATATATATATTATATATATATATATATATTATAAAACTTATTTTAAAATCGTGGCTTATTCCCAATAAAAATAGTAAATTGATATAATTTTCTTATCAATTCGGTATAAAAATAAAATAGAATGTGTTAAGATGTCGAACTTAATTTGTTTTATTTTTCACTTCCGGAAAATAGAGGTTAAGTTGCACCATTCATCTTAGTAATGCACGATTACTGATGCATGAGTACATAGTTCTAATCGATCGTTTATAAATCTTAATAGTATTCGTTTATTATTTATATTTATATTATACGAAATCGATCGTAGCTGACTCATTTTAACTTCAAATCTACCACATACACATCAGGATCCACACTCTAACCAGTATATACGGAACTGTAGTCAGTTTCTAAAAGTTAGTCAGTTATAAAGTTGTATAATCCTACAAAAATATCTGAAACCGCTGATCTATCAGTACACGTTTGTTACCAGTGTCACAAAACGACCCATTTTGTATTCAATCAAATGCTACCTTGCTGAAGAACAACATCGAAGTGGTCCACTATCTATTACTGTCTATTACTATCTATTAGTACTATCTATTATTTGCAATATATGGTATTTTAAATATCATTACAAGAATAGTGACTACGATGACGACAAAATAGGAACCTAGCCAGAAACCGAAATTCGGCTTCATCAAATCACCTTAATATAAAGTTTCCTAGAAAGGCGATGTTACAAAAACAACAGGAATATACTTTCCAAATAGCAGTAAACATGTTTAAATAATAAAAAAAAAAGATTCTGGATTATTGAAAATACGTAAATTACGGAATACTCATCAAATACGTAAAAAATTAAGCTTTACCCCATACTAATGTCCATATTTAGCCATACGGTTCACATTCCCTCTAAGGGGAAAATTCATTCATCCCAGATACCTACGGTATCAAAAGGATTGAGCTCTGTTGAGACTCTTTCCGTGTTATCGAGCCCTAGGTGGCTTGGTATGCTGGAGTATCTCCCAAAAATTTCGTACACATCTGGACGTCGCGAGGAGTACAGCTTTCTGCATGGCTTCATAGAGATGTTCATTTAGGTCTAGCTGTTTTATGTTCTTTAGGAGGTTTTTGGGAATAACACCGGTAATAGATAGAATAATAGGTACTGTGTTGGGTATCGCCACATCAATAAGTGTTGTTTGCCTAGTAATTTTATTAACTAGTATGAGATCCGGTCTATTATGTGCCACTGGTTGGTCTGTGAGCACAGTGCGGTCCCATTATAGCTTGTAGTTGTCACTTTCAAGCATTCTGTCAGGGACGTATTGATAATAAGGAAGATGGTCGGTTTGGAGAAGTCACAGTTTGTCAGCTAGTTCTTTGTGGATAATCTTACGTACTGAGTCATGGCGTTCTTTGTAATCAGTACCGACAAATTCCTGGCAGCCACCGGTAAGATGTTGGATGGTTTCTTGGGCTTGTCATCCATATCGGCATTTGTCATTTTGGCTTTACCAATATATTTCAGGTAATTTTTAGTTGGAATAACCTGATCCTAAATGGCAACTAGGAAACCCTCAGTCTCGGGAAACATCTTTCGTGATGTAATGACGCTGTATTGTCGACATATTCTTGGCTGATCTCATTGAGATGTCGCCCATGCAAAGGTTTACTCATCCAGGTGCACATTTTTCTTACTTATTCAGGTGATTTATGCGCATTTCTTGTTCACTCAGTTTAAGCGGCGTTGTATCATTAACTGCGCAAATTGCTCGATGTAAATTTAATGTTTGCAATATATTGGTATCTTGAATAACATTACAAGGATAGTGGCTACAATGACGACAAAAGTAGTAACCTAACCAGAAACCGAAATTCGGCCTCGTCGAATAACATAAATATAAACTTTCCTAGAAAGGCGATGTTACAAAAACAACATGGAACATTTTTTTCTGAATAGCAGTAAACATTTTTAAATTAAAAAAAAAAGATGATAACTATTTCTGGATTATTGAAAACGACAAAATTTTCATCAAATTCGTAAAAAATGAAGCTTTACTCCATACTACTGTTATTAATATTTTATTCTTCTTCTTCTTCTTCTACTTTTTGTAGATCTTTCGATCTGTTTAATTCTGAAGCTGCCTCTGGTTAATTTCTTGGGAGGTAGATTGCCAACTATCCCTCCATCTTTTAGGTGGTCTTCCGGGGGGTCTTGAACCAGGCGGATTGTTTTCTAGGGCAATTTTTGGGAGTCTATTCTCATCCATTCGTCTTACATGGTTGTACCACATCCTCTTGCGCTGTCTTCCCCATCTTACAATATCTTGAATTTTGCACTGCTCTCTAATGTTTGTATTTCTCACTCTGTCCCTTCTTGTTTTCCCCATTATTGTTCTTAGGGTTTTCATTTCGGCAACCCTTAGCATCTGTTTCGTTTTGTTGGTATCTTCGCGCACTTCTATGCCATATGTCATGATCGGTCGTATGCAAGTCTTATAGATTCTAATTTTACTATCTGTGCGCATATACGGATTAGACCAGACTATCTCCCGCAGACATCCTGACAGTGCAGATGCTTTGTTGATCTGACTCCTCAGGTCCTTTACTGGGTCATGGGTGCTTGATATATCTATGCCCAGATATCTGAATTGCATCACCTGTTCTATGGGGTTGTCCTCAACCACTAACTTACATCTGAGCGGATCTTTTGCTATTGTCATACATTTAGTTTTGTTGGTAGAGATGTTCATATTTAATAGTCGGCTTGTTTGAAAGAACTGAAAGAGCTGCCTTTGGAGATCATCTTCTGATTCGGCAATAATTGCTGCATCGTCTGCGTAGCACACCATACCAATTCTTTTGTTGCCCATTCTATATCCGAGATTAAGAGATGTTACTTTGTTGATAATTTTGCCCATGAGAAGATTAAACAAGAAGGGGCTTAAACTGTCGCCTTGTCTAATTCCTCCCGGTGTTGGAATATTTTCAGTGAATTCGTCTCCTGCTCTAACTTTGGTTACGTTGTTGTTATTTAGGTTATGGAGTATCTTTGTTATACTGGTCGGTGTTTCATTTTCTATTAATATATTTAGAATGTCTCCCAGGCGAACTCTGTCAAATGCCTTCGTCAAATCAATGAAGCAAATATACGCTGGCATGCCGAACTCTATAGCTTTTTCTTTTATTTGTTTTATTACAAATACTGCGTCTGTTATAGACCGCCCTTTTGTAAAACCTTGTTGTTCTTCAGCATT